CTGCCTTCAGATTTGGGAGTGAATTTACCCCATTGCCCTCAACTAATCCGAGCCGCAACAGGTACCATTGTTGTTTTTACATAAAAAGTTTTAGGTTGATCAATATAAATTTGGTGAGAGATATGTCTTTTTCGCATCGCATAATGAGAGTCACTTAAAGTATAACTTAACCCCCCTCCCCCCTTTGAGCAACTTTGGTAGGAATAGCAACGATATGATGATATCAAACCCAATCCAAGTTTGTGAATAAATGCAATTTAGTTTTATATGGAAAAAAACATTTATTTTAGGTCCCATTCTAGGTAGAGACAACAAGATGAATTTGACAAATCACATCACATTAGGCCAGGTTCAAAGTATTAGAAATGCCAAGTGTATCGGAAAGGCAATTTTAAGAAACGTAACGAGATACACCTTAGATACACATAGATACACTTGGAAACACTATAAATACTTTAATAAATCATAAAAATACATCAATAACACTAAATATAAGACCTCAATGAGGTGTATATACATTAAATTAATATATTTTAATTATACTTTCATTAAAAATCCTATGATTAACTATAATTTATAAATTATAATTCTAAAGTTTTCATGTTTTATGGGAGGGGAAAAACCCAACTCTCCTATCCAACCATAAAACATGCATTGGCACAAATTCTAAGTGAAAATATAATCAATAATTATTTATTATTTTTTTCTAAAAATTATAAAAAACAAATAAACATTATATATATATTCAAAAAAATAGTTATTAAAGAAGAAATTTCAATTGCTTTGTGGATATAATAGATCATCTATAGAATTATAATATATTTAATCATTGTGATCAAATGATAAAATTTATTTATTTATTTATTTATTCTAAAAATAAAAAAAATAATTATTAAATAAGAAATTTCAATTGGTTTGTGGATACAATAGATCATCCATAGAATTATAATATATTCAATTGTTTTGATCAAATGATAAAATATAATCAATTATTATTTATTTTTTAATTCTAAAAATATAAAAAATAACAAAAATATTAAAGAAGAAATTTCAATTGTTCTATGGATACGATAGATAAATCCATAGATCTAAAACATATTTAGTGTTTATAGGCAAAGACAAATTACATTTTCAAATTTTTATTAATTTATATTTCCCCAAATATCTTCATGAAATTTCCATAAATTTATTAATAACACAAAAAATTATGATTTTGAATGTAAGAAATGTAGATCAACATAAATTTAAACATTCAAAAAAAAAAGAAATCATAAGATATTATAAAAATTTTAAAAAACTTGCTTATTTTTGCCATATTTTTTCAAAATTTGAAAAATTTTCAAAAAAATTAACAATTCACACTTGTTTCTTGCAATTTTTTTTTTGCAAATCTAGCACTTTAGGAATGATGTTTGGAGTTTGAGTCATTCGAGGGTGAAATAAGGCTTATTTCAGGGAAAAGAAACTTGTTTTTCCCCTTTATTTTTTTCTTTAGTTTTTGGCCATATCTTTTTCGTCGATACGCTCCAATACATCCCCGATACGCCCTGATACGGGTCCGATACGCATGAAAAAAAGACAAGACGTCCGATTTCCATCTGTATCCCATATCTATTTTTCAAAGATACAATACGATACGCCCCATATCGAGCGTATCATATCAAAATTTTAAACCTTACATTAGGCATAAGTAGATAAATATAAAATTAGTCTCCCAAATCAAATTAAAAAAAAAAAATCCAGATTACATATGCTGAGATTTATTTCATAGATGGTGGGTCCCAAACAAAATATGCACTTATAGTGGCCTATACCGAGTGTAGGGTCATCAGAAAACATACATAAATAGTCTCTCTATCACTTCAAGCACTAAGACTGTATTTGGTTTGATAGGAAATAAGAGAAAAATAGAAATTTGAGAAAAAGCTATAAAGGAATTTTACAATTTTGTTTTTTAAAACAATCAAAACAAAAATACCTGCCACATCAGAAAACTAAATATATTTTTACTGGTGTGACAGTAATTGTTATCTTCTAGACGGTATATATTTGGATTTTCAATTTTGAATAAAACTCATCTATTCATCTATTTAACCCAAAACTCGCATATAAATGCAGTTCATATCTAACATATTTCATCATTTCTCAAAATGACAAGCAACCATGAACCATGCACGTATGTGGTTCAAACAAAATTAGGGCAAAAGCTTGGGCATGAGGTCACAATACTGGCTCCTCCCATCTATTACGGACAAGGCATGCTGACGCGTTAATCTATGATTGGGTTTAGATAGTCCATTCTACCCACCTCATTCAAAGGCGTCATTATCCAAGGTTGTGAAAGGGTACAGACCTACTCCTTTTCACTGCTTTTAAGAAGGTGAGACTGGTCCTTTTCATGGTAGATGTTAAACCCGAGCCAAACAATATATCATAATAAAAGTTCAAAACTTAAATTTTCAAAAAAATGTTTGGCCTAAAATGGTCATGGAGTAAAAGATTTTCCCTCTTAAGGACTAGATTGTTTTTCGGTTAGTCATTTATCGGTATTCTTTTTATTTTAGGAAATTGTCTAAAACATACTATGAGTTTTCAGCACTTCTCTTAAATTCACCACAACGTTTCAAAATGTCTAAAATTCACCGGGCCAGTAAGTTTTATTTTCCAAAACATACCTTCCGTTAGTGCATTGTTAATGCTTCTTAACAGAGATGTCTATATCAGCATAAATAAGAATTTTCATGACCAAATTATCCTTGGATGGCGAGTTAGAGGAAAAGGGTCTTTTCAGTTTTCAATTTTCATGTTTTTTTTTTACATTTTTAGTGTTTTGCTATAATTTCCAGTGTTTTTGACATTTTTCTATTTTCTACAATCTATAAATTTTCCTGTATCTTTTGTTATTTATTTGCAATTTCTATGTTTTTCTATAATTTTTGGTGTTTTTTCTACAATTTTTATTTTCTGATTTTGTTTGCAATTTCTATAATTGTTTATATTTTTTGAAACTTTTGTGCTTTTATGTATTTTATATTTGAAAATATTTTTTTGAATTTTTTCTATTTTTCATGTCTAATTATTAAAGTATATGTATATATTTTATATTTTTCTATGAAGGTTAAAATGGTAATATATTAACACCCATTAGTTTGTTTAACGTCAAGTTAGTGACATGGTGAGTTTTAGACATTTCGAAAAGTTATGATGAATTTAAGAGAAATGCTGAAAACTTAGGGTGAGCTTTAGACAATTACCCTTTTATTTTTAGGTAAAATTGTATAATGACCTTTTTATCCATAATAGGTCATTATTTAAAGGATAATATTGTCCTATAATGCATTAGCAATTTTCCACAATCAGAAAATTTATTTACACAAGTCTCTAGAGGGTATTGCTTAGGTAAATGACTCGTTCGAGAATTGTTCTTTTACATGGGACCCACTAATAACAAAACACAATTGTAGATTTTTTTTCTATAAGACCCACCAACTTACACACCCCCATACAAACACCCTTAATATTTGTACATGGGTTTTGATGATTGTTGGTCCAAGATTTTACTATCTAGCCAACCAATATTTTTTGATATTTTAATATTTTAATTTTTTTAATTAAAAATTATTTATTTTATTGATCAATGCAAAACAGGGTTGATTTATTGTTATCAAACTTTAGAGATGACAATTTGACTCGTGCCTCTGGACTCGTAAGGATGGGTTGACCACTGGTTGGGGTTTGAGGTGGGTATGGTATTTGTCCACCCCACCCCAATTATTTTATATGACAATATATATATATATATATATATATATATATATATATATATAATGTTATTATATTATATTATATAAATCAATTTTATATAAATTTTAAAAAAATAAAAAGAATAAATTTATAAATATGCAAATAAGAATGACCAGAGCTGGCCTATTCCCTGTGAAAACGGGGATGAAGTTAGAATTTCTAACTATGATAGAGTTAGGGACGGGGAGAGGACGGGGCATTTGAGTTTGGGATCGGGAACGGGCATACAAAAATCGGGCCCCGCCCCGCCCAGTTACATACAAAAATTTGGATGTAAATTAAAGACTTTTTATCCAATTCAATGTTAAAAGTGTCGTCCTCACGTGAGGATATCGCTACTATTCCAACACCTCCCTCATATAAGGTCAAAGTATTACGGTGTGACATGTCCCATCTTATTAATGAACTCTTTGACTCATTGGCATTCAAAATAATTTAAAAATGAATTTCGCTATTTTTATTCTGATTATGCATTACAACTGTTTCTTCTCTGGGACTGGGAGTTGGAGGAGTGCGTCGTCCAGCTTGCTTAGGTCGAGCCCGTGACCTTGACCGATTTGATTATTTAAGGGATCTTAAATCGTGCCGTGTGATGGTGATTCCAACAACGTGATTCTCTTAAATCCAACGGTACTTACCATTTCATTGCACCGAGATAACATGGTTTAAGTTTCACCTCGCCGGAATCGCACTTAACGGTCATCGAACGAACCGATTAACTACTAACAACCGCTCGGTAGAAAAACCGGCGAAAGCAATCTACCGAGTACCAACCACATCCACATGTTGTCAGTGGGTCGCTCAGGACTCAGTAACTACTACTGACTAGATGGGTCCCACCTCACTCACTACCATTGGTCATGGATGCTGTCAAGGAAACGTCTTACGCTATAAAAGAGTTGTACAGTTTGAGCATCAGCTCTGATCGTGTGGGCGGCTGGATTGGGTATCAACCGTGGAATTAGTATCGGCGGTGGGAGATGTGAATCTGACGGTTGCAGAGTGAGACCCTTAGGTGCAGGTAACCGCACGGCATTGTCAATCAAGGTAATTAAATTTCACGTGCGTCGCCGTTGATTTATTAGATAAATCAGGTCGCCTGTCCACCATTTATACTTCGCCACGTGTATTGTAGCTGTTCTTTTTGTTTTCCTTCACTTCAATCTTCTCTCTCTCTCTCTCTGCGCTAAAAGATTCTGATTTCTGAATCTGATATCTCCGTTCAAAAAGCAGATCAGTTAACAGTAATCGAAGCTTTTTATCTCTGGGTCTCTGGGAAATCGAAAGATTTTTAGGGTTTCAAAAACCTCAAAGCAGAGCTTATCCATTTTCTTTTGAATTTTGCAAGGTTCCAACAAAATTGAAATGAAGAACCCTTCTTTTTTAATTTCTATTTATTTTTCTTATTTTTGCTGGCAATGCAACTGATATTAGTTGGATCTGTTGCGTCCAGATGTCTGTCACTATAATCTATGGTTGTTGATTCTTTGTACGCATGAACGAGCTCTCGCTCTCCAATTGTCTATCCTAAAATAGCAGAACTGAGAAATTACATGATTTCTTCCTTTAGGAGCTCAGAAACTGTTACTCCTCCAATGTCATGGAACACAAGTACAAGCTCAAAGTCGTTCTGAGCTTAATCTCTACAACCTTTCTCATTGCTCTCATATGTTTGATTTACTTCTGGCGAAAGAGATGGGCGAGAGGTCAGACTGGAGAGAAGGACAACCTCGAGTACAAGGAAGAGTACATACTAGAAACAGAAGGTTTGATCGGTTTTCCAGGTGGTGAGAACCTCACCATTCATGATATCTTGGACGCTCCCGGAGAAGTCGTCGGGAAATCGAGTTACGGGACACTGTACAAAGCTAGTTTACAGAGGCATGATTCAGTGAAGTTGCTTCGGTTTCTCCGGCCGGCGTGCACAGCAAGGATGAAGGAAATTCTTCATGCAATTCAGATGCTGGGGTACATAAGGCATCCGAATTTGGTACCCCTTCAGGCCTTTTATGCGGGAACGAGGGGAGAGAAACTCTTCGTCCATCCCTTCTTTAGCCGCGGTACTCTGGCTCAGTTCATTCGAGGTGATTTTCTTCAACTTCTTTTCCAAATTTGTCTTTCTTTTATCTTGGGGAAATGGGTTTAGAGATTTTGAAAAAAAAAAAAAAACATTTCGGGGTCCTGGTTGAATTGATTGAATTGGCAAAATTAATTGAAATTAGTTGAAATCAATCTGCATCACATTAACCTCGAATTGGGAAAATTTTCAACTTGATGAAGAGTTGGCTTAAATTTCTGTTTCTTTTTTCCATTTCTGGGTCTCATGTGTTTCAAAGCTTTTCATTTTGTTTCTATTTCTTTGCATTTGCAACTCGTAAGCAATTTTTATGTTGTGTGGTATTGCAATTTGAACTATTTGCTCTTCAATTTCCTTTTTTCTTGCATTCCCCATCTTATTCTTTGTAGTTTATAGTCTTCAACCGACATGTTCATTTACTTCTTGCTCTCATTTTGGTAGTGTATATCCATTTTTTAATTAATTTGATTTCTTTTTACGAGATTCCATAAATTAAAAAGCTGAAATCAAGCTTAATTTGAGGTTCTTGATTGATTGCATCTCACTGACTTAGGCACAAAATATATTTACTGGGATCCCACTTTTTGCAATATTTTGTTTATTTTCCAAGCAAATTATAGGAGTCCCCAATTAAACTTGCACCGATTGTCTGAGATTATCCTGCTTCGTTCTTCCTGTGCACTTAGTCACGTAAAGAAATCACTTCAGAATTCCATCCTCAGTAGCCACTTCTTCTTTGTGAATTATCATGTCTATCTCGATCACTTTCTGCTTCTTCCATAATTCCATTACGTCTTGTAAAAGAATGAGATATAATTGCCATCCATCATTCTTTAGTTTTTTCTCTGAAACTTTTAGATTTCTTCATTTTAAACCAAATTCAGTTCCTATTCAAACTTTTGTTTTTCTCATCACCAAGTTGCAGTTTTATAAAATTCTATTTCAGGTAAAAAAAACTAAATGCAGAAACTATGTTTTCTTTATTGACAGGTGGAGATGGTGAATCACACAAATGGGGCATCATTTGTAGGATCTCCATTGGTATTGCCAGAGGACTGGATTATCTTCACACTGGATTGCAGAAACCCATTATTCATGGAAATCTCAAGTCAAAGAACATTTTGCTAGATGGAAATTACCAACCGTATGTGTCAGATTTTGGCCTTCATCTCCTTTTGAATCCAACTGCAGGCCAGGAAATGCTTGATGCTTCTGCTGTTCAGGGATACAAAGCCCCTGAACTGATCAAGATGAAGGACGTAAGTAAAGAGAGTGATATCTACAGTCTTGGGGTCATCTTACTTGAATTACTTACCAGGAAGGAGCCCATTCTTGCAAACTCATCACCAGCTCAGGATCTGTATCTGCCAAGTGCCATGAGAAATGCAATTCTTGATCATAGGCTCTCAGATGTATTTCATCCCAGCTTACTTATTAACCAAAGCAATGACCAGAAGTCAGTCATGGAAGAGCACCTTCTCATGTTCTTTCAGTTAGCAATGGCTTGTTGTTCTCCTTCCCCAACTTTGAGACCGGATATCAAGCAAGTTCTTACAAAACTTGAAGAAATTGGACAATGAGAGCTGTTGGATTTAGTATACGATGATGACCATTGATCACTATTAGAGATGATTTGAAGTAGAAAACTAATATTTCAATAATCTAATCTCAACAGAGTTGGTGGCTACTGGCCACCAAAGCGATGATGACTTAGTGTGACAGGGAAGGTTGGGCATTCCCCTCGAGCTAAAATGGAAAACTTAAGCAGTCTGAGGATGATGGTAGAGTTGGTGATTGGACATGTCATGTTCAAGGTTTTGTTTGGTTTTCCAAGTAAAGAACACAAAAGGATTGTGATCCCAGCTTGGAAAGCTACTGATGAATAATTCTACAGGACAGAGGAAGAACCCATCATAAAGCAAAGAATTGAATCCCATTAAATACTCAAGAACAAAATCCCTTGAGAGGGAATTGATCAAATTACTAAGACAAAGGAGTTCGGTCAAATTGCTTTCAAAGGTTTACTGACGGCAAGTAGGATCAAGTTCATTGGGGACTTTTTTCTTTCTTTCTTTCCTTTTCTTTTTTTTTTTTTTTTTGTGAGCATCAAGAAAATTTGTACTCTCTAACCCAAAGTTAGTCCTCTTCTTAGTTAAAGTATTTTTATCATTTCTTTTCTCTCAGTTGTGTGCAGTGTAGTTTCTTTTTCTTGAAATCTAATGCCGCAGGACATTGACTCTATTGATAGATGAGTGTCTGAGTTTCTATCAGAAAAACTTGATGATCAAATTCCTTTAAACCAACAGTAGCTTTGTCTCAGGTAGCTACCCATTCTTGAATCTATAGACACTAAAAACAGCATCAATGCAGGAAAGGCAATTCTGGGTCTGTAATAAAAACTATCTTCTAAACTTCCAGTTTTGTCAAGATTGGTACATACAAAACCTGATACACTGTTATCCACAGTATGTAATAGTGCATAGGATATTTTATTTGTTCCTTCTTTTATCCCAACTGTCCCCTCCCATTTGACTATCCACATGTCTCCCTAATCACAATATTTTAACCTTCAAGTCATATTCTTTGTTAATGGCTTGGTTGAATTGTGATCTTTTTGGTTGCTTTATAAGACATATTCAGATCATAATTCATTATTTTAATACTAACTTTTATACCAAGAATATGAGAACATGAATGTAATACCTAATTTATTATATTTTCCTTTTCTGGCATTCCCTTCCTTTCTCTTCCCCTTCATTAGCTTCGCTGGCATAAGGTGGTGGGTGTGAGTGGGTTTCAATGTGCTGTACTTGGGTTAAGGTTTAATAAATGATATATACGAACAAAGAACAGCTTGGTAAGTGTCCATCTTTTCCAATTAGATAGCCTTCTGAAGCTAAGCTAAAGGTTGTAAATTTTGAAATTTACTGGGATGTACTACTAGCTGTTTGAGAAGTGAGAGTACAAAGAGAGAAAACAGGCAAAGCCAGGTTTTGAATCCTGCCCCAATGATAAGAGCATCATCCTGCGGCTCTTGCTATTTGGGAATCCTCCTTGTAACACTGCTCACTCANTCCCAAATGGCATGTCTGAGAAGTGAGAACAAGCCAATGGTTCTATGCAACATGAACTGAAAAGCACCAGACAACATGGACCAAGAGGTCCAGTGCTGTATAGGCGATGATGTCTAGCGCGGTATGGGGTGTTGTTGTGTTGGCATCTAGTAAGGCCGGGTGCCGCCTTGTGGGTCAGGCTTTGCTGGAGTTTTAGTAGGCCTAAGTCTCAACCCTCAATCCATTCCTTTACAGAATAAACTCTGCCCCGTACTCTCAAAGTCCATGGATGGTCAGTAATCAGTACAAACCAACAAATTCAGCTCTCCAGTCTCCAGGGCCCTAGCACTGTAGGAAGCAGGAGGCTCTGGGCATTGTTTGTAAAACTGTCAGCTTAAACGAAAATTTGTTTCTGTCTTGGACAGTTAACAAACAATAGTATTGTATAATATACTTATACAAATAAAAATAATCTGATGATCAATTGATTAACCCCAATTTGGATGAACTGCAGCCCAAAAGGCATACAAAACAAAACCAGCCCAAAGTTCTTAACTAACCTAGCCAATAGTATTGATTGGTGAAAACTGATTTGATTAAACCTCCCCACCCACAACCACAAAAAGAAGTTAGAAAAAGGACTACTGAATGAAACCATATATTCTCTTAAGCTTTAACTGTGCTTCTGGACCCTGCACACAGCAAATTTGGTCCCGGTCCAAAGTACTTGTTGGCTCATTCTCTTGGCCGGGACCCCATTCAGCCGTAGGGTCTCATCCATTCCAAGAGCCCACATCCGTACTCCTTTAACCCAGATCCAATATATTCTCCCGCTTTTCAATTTTCTTCCCTTGAAAGAATCTAGACTAGATGTAGATGGATAGTTTGCATTTAAACAACAAGTGGTCCACTGACATTTACATGAATGACCAATATGACCCAATCATTCTTCTCTAGTTCTCTCTCAGAATTATTTAAGGGAATTTTTTTTACCATTGGCAACTTGAATTGAATATATGGGCAATTAAGTAATACGTATGGACAATGAAAAGTTAGTTCAGGCACAAAGAATCTGTATAGCATTCTGTATATGGGCCATAAGAATAAATACAAGCTAAGGTATAGAGGAACTGAAAGTCTGAAACAAACAAAAATACAAGAGACATAGTGGACAAATTGATGTCACCCCAATGATCTTTGTCGATAAAACCAATAGAAGCCTGATTGCCAGAGGCCCAAGCCCCGTCAGTATTAATCTTCAAATGATTAAGGGCTGGTTTGGACCAAGAAATAGTGCTGTGAGAGGGACAAATGGCAGCAGGACCAAGATGGGCTCTAATAGATAGCAAGACATATTTGTGAGAGAAAGAAAGAAATGAATGGCAATCAAATAACAAATGAAATGAATACATTACTTAACTTAGTACACAAAATATGTATTTAAAATAATAGGGTGATAAATGAATCTTGAACCAGGCCCTGCTTGTTTCAATTCTCATTATTTCTCATTCTTTAAATTTTAAAATGGACAAGATGAAATTCCAAAAAAGAAAACTCTATGCTGATTATCATAAACCGCCAATCCAAGTCTCTAAAACTGTTGGAATAGATGTTTACCAGCAGATGACTGGCGGTCAATGTCTGTCAAGATAAGTTTCCACAGTAGTCTACTAATAAATATCTATGGTAGTCGTTTTGTAGGCATAGAATTTCTTAAAAGAATAAAAATAAATAAGACGGAACAACATGGCTACAAGCAACATTGATTGAGGGTCAGTAGAGCTGCAACAACCATGGAGTAACATATTGACCCGTATCACAACCAGAGGAATCAGTGTCAATGATGTTGTTGCTGCCCAGAGCTGACATGCCCAATGAGAGTGAACCTAATTATAAAAAGAAAAGTTATGCATTTGTACAGTTGTCTAAAGTGATAGGTGAGAGAATTTATCAGGGTTAACGTAGCCTAAGTGGGGGTTTGGGACAATACATTCAATAAACCGATAAAAATTTGGGTAAATTTCTTAAATGATCGTTATACCCCTATGCAAAATTACATTTTTATCCCTATTTTTAACTTTAATCCCTCTCGGCTTGTAGTAGCGGCATTTCTAGGGAGCTGCAAAGGTTGCCTTCTCTTCCATCGTCTGAAGATCAACACAAATGCGAATCCTCGGATCTGGAGCCTGAGCCATGGTTAGGATTTTTGCAGCGGGAGAATCTCTCATCGGAGATCTTCGAGAACATTGATTCGAAAAATCTTGAACCAGCGGTGAAGATCTGCGTGGACAGTCTTCAATCGTCGTAAAACGCCCAGCCAGCGAAATTGCGCTTCTTGGTGAAGAATAGATTCGAAAACCGAGCACTGATCGTCTGTCCACGAAGGGAAAAGTCCCCCATCACGAATGCCGGAGGCATAAAGCCTCTCATTTATGTTTTACAGAGGTGTCGAAGCAGAATGCCGCATGTGCTCTACTCAGCCTCTCGTTAATCGAAGACAACAAGGTTTTAATCGGTGCTTGCGGAGCGATCCCGCCGTTGGTCTCTTTGCTCTTGAATGGATCAAATCGAGGGAAGAACGTGCTTACGATGCTCTACAAGCTCTGTTCTATGAAACAAAACAAAGAGAGGGTCGTTAATGCAGGAGCCGTGAAACCGCTGGTGGACTTGATTTTAGAGCAGGGGAGCGGTTTGACGGAGAAGGCGATATTGGTTATGAGCAGCTTAGCTGCAATTCCAGAGGGTAGAACTGCCATAGTGGAAGGAGGGATTGCAGTTTTGGTTGAAGCGATTAAAGACAGTTTGGTGAAAGGGGAAGAGTTCGCGGTACTGACGCTTCTGCAACTATGCGCGGATAGTGTTGCGCTCTCTCAGACGGGCACGACCGCCGTTCGGTAGAAGTCCGTGGTGGTTCCAGCGCTGTTCGTCGTCGACCGGAGTCAACTTCCGCTGGATCTCCGTCGTTCAGTATTTTGCAGCAACTGCCGTCGGTGAGGATAGCGATGGTAGCCTGTTTCAGAGGGAGTTAAAAACAGGGATAAAAATGTAATTTCGCATAGGGGTATAATGGGCATTTTACCTTTTTCGTCCATGGGTACACTTAGTCAATTGTTAAAAATAGTAAGAATATATTTAATCAATTTTCAAACAGTAAGAATTAACTAAATCACAAGGGTAGTTTAACTAAATCATTTGTAACAGTCCGTCCTTACCCTAAAAATGATTTTATTTGATTGGATTGTAACAGTCAGTCCTTATATAACAATACATTCCATAAAGAGAGCCACTCTACATTTCTATGTCCAAATGCATCCTCCATTCCAAGATTCAAAATATCGATATGCTGGTAGAGGCATATTGGTAGTTATTTTTTTTTTTTAATTCAGATCAGAGGGGCCAGTTTAAACCCCGTGTAGATATACGGAAGAGCTTCCGATACAATACATATCAATACTTTAAACCTTGTTCCATTCTAGTGTGCTGCCCTCTATGAATAATGCTCTGGTACTATAACTCGAGCTTGGCAACAACTAAGCCATTAAAATGTAGCGTGAGTTAGGCGGAACAATTTTTCAAGAGATTAAGAACAGATTAGCTGAGATTGTGAAGTGGCAAAACTAGCAAGCTCCACTTGGTAGTCCACAAGGTGAAACCAACAGAAGAGTATTACAGAGGGCCGCAACCAGTACAACTTTTAGAGGATGGTCAAGCTCAACCTCCCTAGATTCGATGGGACTCACCTACAAGAGTGGCTCCTTCTTCTGGTTAGGCTGTACTTTGAACTAAACTACATCCCAAAGCAGTTGGTTGTCGTTTCGAAACCCCTTATAGTGATGCAACCAACCCCTAGGGATTTTCTACTCACTTTTCATACCGCTTTCTGCCCGCCTTGGAATCACACATCTCTATTATGAATTAAGAGATGTGTGGCTGCAATTTATGACGGGTAGAGAGTGGGTAGGAAAAGTGAGTAGGAAATCTAGGCCCATCTCTTCATGTTTTTGTAAGGAAAAAGTTCACTGACTCTTTGGCTAAGAAAATGCAAATGCAAGCATTGCCTGTTTGGTGGTACTTTTGAAAGTACTTTTAAAAATATAAAAATAGTGTTAGAACGTGTTTATTAGGGTGTTTTTTTACTTAAAAAATATGAAGTAAAAGTATCAAAAAAAAAAGCACAAGCCAACTTTTGGTATTCCATGCTTTTTAGCCTTTTAATATAATTTATACTTTTCAAAACGTATGCATCCACAACACATATAATATTTATGCATTCCATAATAGGATAACATATATGAATGCCACGTAAAAGTATAAGCACATTAATGCATTTAGTGACACATAGTATATAATATCGTTGACTTACCTTCAGGTGCCACATGACATCTACATGTCATTAATCCAACATTCAAATGCCATGTGATATATATAAATGCCACATGGCATCTATATATTATTAATTTATATTTAAATGCCACATACCATCCATATATAATATCACGTGGCATTTGTACATATAAAACACTTTGTTGTATCCAAATGTCATCATTTATTTTTACTTTGAAAAACATGTTTTTAAAAAATTTTCATCCAAACGTAAAAGTATGAAACCAAAAGTATACCACATATCTTTTACTTCTGTATTATTGAAAGTACAAAACACGAAGTTCCACCAAACAGAACTAAGTAGAATTGAATTAGATTATATATCAGATTGAATAGGAATGAATAGCCATATATTTAATTTTTTGCTTTTAAAAATTCAAAGAAACAACAAAATTTTAAAAGGGTTAATAAAAAGCACTACGAGCAACCTGAATTGGACACTACATTTCTTTTTTGTAGAAAAGACGAGGGTAACTAACTCCTCGGCGCCAAAAATCACTCAAACAAAATAATGTCCCTGATATTTATGCCAAAGATAACAAAAATGTGAATGTGTAAGTATTAATAAAAAGATAAATTGTATATTAGCATTTGGCCACATATAATATCACATGTGATTTGAAACTTTCAAAATCCCAAAATTAAGAATAAGTCTACCTCCTCTCGAAGATGCCCCAATGCCATCTCAAAGTCATAACCAAGAATCCCTTGACTCAACACTTGATAAAAATCTTGGACATTTGGAGAAAGTTCCCCCGATATACGCAACATATAGAAGAGACCAAGGCATCAATGACCTACTGAGTATGAGGGTACTTTGTGCTTAGATTTGTTCACATGCTGGGCTGGGCTGGGTCGGGCTTGATAGGACACATTCAGGCCCGAGCCTGGTCTTCGTATAAACTCTGAAGCAAATTCAGAAAAAAGATTTTTTTTTCTTTATTAAACAACAAAACAAATTTATTTATATTAAATGACTTCAAAACTGAAAAGAGAAGATGAACAAAAAATATATTATTTTATTACATAAAATATATTACTATAAAATAAAATATTATCAAATCAAACTTGGGCTTGAACCTGACTTTTTTTTTTTTGAGAAAACCCAAGCTCAATCTAAGAAAGTCAAACTTGGTGTTTTGGGCCCGACTAAGACCGGACTAGGCCGGGCTCTTCCTCTATCAGTACATGGAATAGACCAATTCGTCAATTCCCTACTTTTTCCTTCAAACCAAACACACCCTAAACGTATTTAATTGTTTATAATATTAAAGGGCAATTCGATAATTTTACTACCCACCGAATGATATTGGACTAAAGTGACAGTTTTTTGGAAATTCGGGATTGCAACGACACTGTGGGTTTTAAAGCTCCAGCAAAGTGCGATTACCCTAAAGTACATGTACTAATAGACAATTTACCAAAAAAGAAACAAAGATCGGATAGAAATGTCCACTTCGCTGAAAATTGAAGATAGAGAATCTGGATTCGTTTCTGGAAGTAGAAGTGTACATTCTTCCCTCCCTTCTCTCGCGTCTCACTGCCTCACTGCGTCAGTTATTCACTGTTCGTCTCCCTTTCTCCAGCACCCAGCATTATCTTCAATCAGAAGGACTAACGCAACCCCCAGCAGATGCTGTAGAACTCGAAACCTTGCAAAGGAGCCATGCAAATGCTCTCGACCACTTTGCTTTTCCATTCGCCTGCATTTATATGTAATGCCTTCACCTTCATATTCCTTTCATTTTCTTTTTCCAAGAAAGAAAAGCGAAATTCGTTTCCCTTCTTCCTAGAAGGAGGCGGTTTGGCGTATTTTCAATATTTAGACTTAGATTAAATTAAAGATACAGAAGCAAGAGAAATATTTTGATTCCAAGTAAGTTGGTTTCTTCAATGTTTGTTGGTATCTGTCATTTCCCATCTGAGCTCGAGCTGGGCTCCAAATGAAGCTTCCTCATTTTCTGACTTAACTTTCTGCAGTGACAGTAGTTATTCTGGTAAGAACAATGGTTAGCGATAGGCTTTAGCCCTTTTTTTTTATATATTTATATCTCACAGTTCATCGCTCAACACCTTGGCATTAGGACCGTACCTGTCCAAGTTTTCAACTGATAAGGAAAGGGATGGCAGATAGGTTCCTACTAATCTTCGTACCTGTCCAAGTTTTATTTTTTCCCAAGTTTCGATCTGATAGTTTGTATTATGTATTAGTCAAAGCTGAGGATGAGAAGGGTTCCTACTAATCTTCGTAGTTAGCCTACCAATTTGTGGTTTAGGGTTTTTACTTAGTGAAGTAATAATATCCCATTTGTGTTTTAGTTGAACTGGGCCATACTTATATAAACAGGGCATTATAAACTAATGGGATCCTCCAAATTTTCGTAATCAATTCTTCGATCATGGTTAGCTTTCTCTACAGCCTACAATTTCTTAATTCATGAGAGGACTTGATTCTTTAGTCGTTGGGGTGAGCTGCGGAGCGTGGACAATAAGGGTTCTACTTTTGGTTTGTTGAATCAAGACATACTTGTATCAATAAACATGTTGTCAATTTCTCACATCTCAGCTCCATTTTTTTTAAATATTCATTGGGACATGTGAAAACACAAATTATCCTCTCTGTTGTATATTCAAAAGTTGTTGCTTTATATTTATTTATTTTTTAATAATTTCTCAGCAGGCAGACCTCTGTTGCCAAATCTAGCAGTTAGAACCTTCAATATCCGAAAAAAGAACATGCTGCTTTGCTGCTCCAAACCAAAAGATGAGAAGTAAGAGAACCTCATTTCACATTCCTTTTTTTGTGCTTGATGTAAATGACTTAACAAATATTATTGATCATTTCTTTAAGTGCAGAGAATGGCATACACTCGGACTGTTTGATGAAGATAATTTGAGACGTAGGTGCTTCCTGTTCATTTTGGTTTCATCTAGCATTTTTCCTGCCACTGCATTTGGAAAGACTAAGAGCCCATATGATGAAAGGCGTTTGCTTGAACAAAATAGACGGATACAAGCATCAAACAATGCACCTAATGACTTCCCGAATTTTATTAGAAAAGGTACAACTTATTCATTTTACATTGTGGTTTTCTATCATGTACACTGAGACACTGAGGTGTTGTTTCTTGTGTTTTATGATTTATTGGTGTGCAATATTGTCTACACCATATTAGCAATACTACCATACGAAATCACTATGATCATTTCTTTGATTTGGCACTCCATTCATTTGCATCCTTAGTTGTCTTCGTTTCCATCATCTTGATCCAAATACATACTGAAAACCTTAATCTAAAGAATGAAATTGGCACCAAGACTTTGAATTCTGAACTCTGGAAGCCGAGAAATTGATTCTTGTGTTCTTTCTTGGGGGTAGGGAGTGGGGGGATAGGTCAAGTGACTTGGTTTGTCCAGGTTGATTCAGATACATGTGATTAGTATTTGCTGAATTAAATTCAATAGGACATCCTCAAGCATCACGAGTTACACATGCTGTCATTCTTGAGTACTGGTGCTTCATTGGAATTTTTGCAAGCTTACTTTTGAATTTTCATGCACAACAATGATTAGAACTTTCCTGCAGAGCTCCATATGTTTATACTAACATTTCAAGTGCAACAGGTTTTGAGGTTAAGGTAGTAACATCTGATGATTATATAAAATGCGATTCTGGGCTTATATACTTGGATATTGAAGTTGGAAAAGGTGAATGCCCAAAGGCTGGTCAACAGGTTTCTTTCTGTCATTGGCTTCGAATGCCACTTTCTTTTCCTCTTTTTTGTTATGAATATTACCGTCTTTCTGTGGAAATGACTTGTAAATCTAGGAACATGATTACTAGAATAAATTGAATGACATTTTTTTCTTTTTATTTCCATTGTTGTTTCTATAATTGATTTGATGTCAATTGCCCAACTTGTTAAAAGTAGTGTATTCCTTAAATGAATTATCTGTAGAAAATATATTAGAGTTTGTTTAAATTGTTAGAGCAGGTCTTCTTTATAGTTTATCAATAATGGAAATTTCAGTAAGAACTGAAGGGAGTTGTAAAGAGAGAACAATTGTAATTTATCAAAGAGAGGTATAGGCAAACCAACAAAAAGAATAATCTAAAAGGAATCACCCATATACAACTAAGTTCTTGGCTCTCCATTCTTTGCAAGCTTGTCAACCAACTTATTGGATGACCTTGTATTCCATTGGAATGGGATGACCAACCTTGGAGGCCAGATCCAAATGTTGGTCCCTAATGCTGAGAAGCAATCCCTGTGGAACCATAGCGAGGGTGATGGATCAACTAATAACCACACGGCAGTCACACTGGACTATCATCCCTCAAAACTTAAACTGGTAGAAACTTCTTTTTTTTCTCCAGAAATGGAAGGTATCAATTGTATTAATATCAAAAAGATTGTAAAGATGTACAACAAGATGTCCTACAATGGGACCCAATACAAGTTACCCATAAGTACAGGACTATTATCCATGCACCATACACAAAGTATACGACTCAACACGATAAGAAGAAAATTTCACATCTTTTAGTTGTCTTAGAACCAGTTCCAGAGAAGAACTTTGGTGTTCTAAAATCCTGGCATCATATTCTCTCCAAACAGTCCAAGTAGTAGTCAATGGGATAATCTCCTAAAGAGATTTTCCCCTCAATTTCCTAACGAATCATCTCTCTGAAACATATTTAGAGATCTTGATGTTGGTAATTGGGTGAAGAGATGGGATTCTGGAAATTTTTAAATGGAAAAAAGAAATTTAAACAGCTGACTCAAGGCATGGAAATTAAGTTTCAATGGATTAAGAGAAGTGCAAACTCCTTTGCTGAATCACTTGCCAAACAAGGGATGGGAAGAGATAGTCTTTTTTTATTGCAAACGATTACATTAAATAACTTTCCAGATTTAAGTGCAGCTGTCAACCCCCAAGTAGGTGTTGAGCCCCAGTTATCTTTCTTAAAAACTGCCCAGAACATACTCTCCCTCACAGTCCCTTGTGTAGCCAACGTGTCAGCTAAACCATTAGCTGATCTCCTTGTCCATTTGAAGCATGCATCGATCTCCCTTGTTGTATTGTGGATTTCCCTTATGGGCTGTCTATAAATCCAGGCTCCCAACTTACCAGATTGCAGCCACTCGATCAACAATTTAGAGTCTCCCTCAATCTCAATTTGGTGTAACCCCAACTGTTTTGCATATCTTACACCTTGAAGCAAGGCCATCACCTCCGCTCTCAAAGAAAAAAAATCTGACTCTTAATATTCACAGGTTCAGAACCCAAATTAATGAAAAGGTGGCCAACTATTTTGATTTCCCCTCCTTCCTCTTGTATCTTACTTTCTTACTCCTATTCTTAATAAAAGTTTCTGTTATAGAATCATTGTATGAATGGAAATAAAACTTGTTTATAAAAGTTTCTTACTCCTATTCTTAATGAAAAGTTTCTTACTTTCTTACTCCTTTTTTACCACCTTCATGTATATTATATGAATGGAAATAAAACTTGTTTATATTTTTTGAAGGGACAAACTTTTCCTACCATAGAATCATTGGTTGGAATGAGAAATTGAAAACCTGTTCAAGTAAAAGAATAAATAAGATAAGAATTTAATACAGTAAAACTGTATTTAGTGTTTAAAAACAATGGTACTTTCTGTCAATTATAAAATATATTTTTTGGATTCAGAACTATTACTTTTATTATTAAGGGCACTTCATTAAAATATCCATTTGTATCAATTCCGTCTCTTTGGATAACAGATACCCTCTACTTTTGTGGTCAAAGGGAGTATAAGTTATTTGGTAAACCCGAGGAGTGGTATAAATATTTAACCAAAATCACAAGGGAGGTAGGTTATGTACTGAAAAAAGATGGGCATAGTGCCAAACTCATCTTCTCATACTATTTTGAATCTACAATAGCTTTAAGTAGTCCAGAAGAAATTTCTGATAATGATGAAGATTTGAACAGAATGGAATGGTGAAACAGGATTCATGTAGCTGGCCCTATATAGTTGCGATAAGGCTTAGATGACGATTTCAGCATAGGATATTTTTTTGACTTTATAAGGTTCATGAATAGAATCTTTTACTTACAAAAGAAACCATAAATTGGATTTACCGATCCTATCTTCTGATGAAGTATAGATCCATGTTTTTCGGAACCCATTGATGGGACTTCACTAGAAACTATCAACCCTCTTACAAGGCATGTAAGGTTCACCTACTTATCAGGCTGGGAGACTGATTGTTAATAGAGGCCAACTGTGAAGTGGTAATTAGATGGATGTCTTTGATTAACGAGTCCTTGTCTTTTCACACTGTAAAGTGGTCATTAGATGGATGCCGTTGGATGATGAGTGCTGCCTTTTCAGATTTATGCTTAGAGAGGCTGAGGCTGTTGACCTGTTGCTGCCCTCTTGAACAGCTCCTTCAACCAGATCCCACGTATAGCTTTTCTCTAGCAAGAGGAGCTGGTAGACACACACACACGTTAATACAATACTCAACCACTAATTCGGAAAAAAAATATGAAAAACCAAGACTGTTCTTCCTAGGAATTTCCCTTTTTATTAGAGTTTTGAAAACTTCAATTGCTGGCATCCATTAGTAACAAGTTCCAATATATGGGGATGAGTGGTATAGGGCTAATGTGAACAGAAAGTGAACACATGGCAAATCATGAGGTTTATCTGGTGGATGGTCTGGTTGTATGACATTTTTTTCTGTGGCTTAAATGGGAGATGCTGTCTAGAGAAGAACTAAAAGGTGGAAAACATTCCGAAACTTCAAAGAACAACACAAATAAAATCAACGACACACACGCACATATATATAAGCATCTCACTGGTCACCATATACTATTATATATGAACTGATGTTCTCCCAATGGCAGGTTACCTTTCATTATGTTGGCTATAATGAATCAGGTCGCCGAATTGACAGCACCTACTTACAAGGTGCTCCAGCCAAGATCCGGATGGCCACCAATTCATTGGTTCCAGGTGGTAGTTTATCTAATATATGTAATTACTTTTTATGTTCCCCTTTACATGATTATATTGGCTGATAGACATGGATAAAAATGATGCAGGGTTCGAAGAAGGAATTCGAGACATGAGACCAGGGGGTAAGAGAAGAATAATCATTCCTCCAGAACTTGGACCACCAGTAAGCTTCGTGGTTCCCAATCTCATTAATATATATATTGCTATGTTAATTTCCCTTCTTTTTTCTTTTCCCTCATTTTCCTATGCATAAGCTGTAATTTGGAATCTGGATGTACAAAAATAAAAAGATGTTTGGTATCTTAATTCACTTAAGTGTCTTGAATTAGTGAATAGTTTTTTTTCCTTCATGGTGCAACTTGGGCAGGCTGGCTCAGGTTTAAGATCAACCCACACCCAAGCCTGGACTGAGCCTGTGGTTAAGCCTGACTTGCCCAACCCAGACCCAGCCTGAACTGAAATTTGACATACTCGGGTTGGGCTTGGATGGGCTGGGGCTCGGGTTGGTCAATCTGAGTTACCTGTGCGTCAGGTTTACTGTATTAAAAAGTTACCCCAAACCTGTTTAGCATCAGCAATTTGAGCCATTAAATATGGATATAATACATTTTATGCATATGCATGCATGACTGTGCGTCAGGGTGGATTTGGCCTGGGCTAGGGTTGGACTAAAATTGGGTTAAGGGCTGGATCCAATCCAGCCTGAAAAATAAAAAAGAAAACCCACGGTTTTGTGCCCTTAATCCCTAGGTAATTAATTCCACTTTTATATTATCTCCAAGTAGGAGGCAATGTCAACTTGAACATGTCTTCTGGTTGCAATTTTGCAAACCGTTTCTGGTATAGTTTTCCCATATTGTGGTATCAAGCTTAGGGCTGATAAACTGAAACTGGATGATCTTGAATTCTGCAGGTGGGCCCATCAACCTTTTTCAGCTCAAAACAATTTGAGGTTTTCGATGTGGAGCTACTAAGCGTGAAAGATTGTCGGAGGAGGACCATAGGCTTTTATTCAGATGTTGTGTGCGATTAAATAATCTCATAGGCGGTGCTTCCAGTCACCTGATCCGTGTACACTCACTGGAATTGTACAAACAACTTTTAAAACAAATTACAGAATATTCGGTATGCCATTTCTTCATATTCATTCCCACATTTATCAAATCTTACCCTGTTCCACTAGTAAAAAATTTTGTTTTGACGGTTAGGGGATCCACTTTCGATTAATAATACGATATTCTTTAAATTAAACTCCACTTTGACCTAAAGAAGAAGAAATGTATTGTTCCCGTCTTTCTGACCCACCATTGACCCAGCCGGTTACACCATTCAACCAGATACCCAGAGTTGAAAATGGGTCCATTCCTCTAATCCGGCAATACTTACAAAAGCGTTACCTGACCAAATCCCCAAACAGATAAACTGGTAAACCGTTCAAACTGTCCATTGGCGAAGATACAAATAAATTTAAGTAATTAATTATATCTGACCCATTCAACCCATATGGTCAAAAAGAACAAGTTTTATATCTGATCCATACGTATCGGCAGTATCGGAGCCTTTCCAATGTGCCCATATAAAGGATGTTTCGGATTGGCAAGTGGTTCAGAGGATAGACCGGCCTTAAACTGGCCCCTTTGAACCTTGGTTAGACGGACAAAAGGCTTGGCACTGACTATGATGATAAGTAACAGTCAAAAGGGCCATTAGCCCTTTACCCATTGTTATATTTTTCTGTATTTTTTATGAACAGGATTTTATTAAGATTTAAAAGTAACTTGTTACACCGAGGGTAGCCTCGGTTACCCCTGAAAATTAAAAACTGAGATCCCATAAAACATTGCTATTGCAGTTACAACGTAGCCCTGAAACAGTATTCCCTGTGAACCAGCTATTTCGAGCAGTCTTTACAGCCTTGCATTGGGAATATCTCCACACTTATGTACTTTATTTTATGGGGAGATATTCCCGATACAAGGTTGCAAGAGGTTGTTGGACCGGTGTGATTACGAGCTTACCCTGACCGAAGCCGATCTCCGGTCTTGGTTGGGGGGTTAATAGCTTGATGCTCAAATTACCCGCTCTCGAATATGACCCATATTCTCGCAGCTCAAGATTTTACAATTGCTTATTCTTCCAAACAATGAAATTGAATTCCGGGTATAAATAACCAATCATTTTGTAACCATTGCCCCATCTTTTACAAGTTTGATTAAACAAAAAACTGAAAAATAAAGAGCGATTATATTTTAAATATTTATTAGATGCAAGATCATTGTATTAAACGAACCAATAAAATGAGAATAAGATACAATATTTTACCAAAAAATATTTATTTTCCCCCAAAACGATTAAGATATAATAGAGATACGCATCTTTTTTTCCCAAAATTTTGTCCAGAGCTCACAAGACCTGGTGAAGTGTATATATCTACAATATTTACCATCTGCATCCTCCTTAGGCTTTCCTGCTGACAATTGCAAATGATATCAGCCATACGGGGGAAAAACCAGGATTACACTTTGTTAACATAGTGGTATTGGCTGATACTTCTGCAGAGACTTGCTAATAATACCAGATTAATGGCAGGAGGAAACCAGAATCAAGCTTTTATTAGCATCATAGGTATTGCCTAAGATTTTCACCACTCAGTGTTTCCATGTCCTTCAGAATATCTTGGGCCAAAGACTTAACAGGCAGCTCAACATCCTCGAGCAGTTCTCCGAGAAAAGGGATGGTCTCAGGCAGGAACACCAGGTATTCCTCCTTCAGATGCTCCAGTAGGTACTTCACAACTCTCAGACCCAAAATACGTGACCGGACTTTTTCACTCCGGGTCTGCATCAACACCTGCATTTTAGAAGAACTTGGAATCAAAATTAAAAACAAAAAACAAAAAATTAAAACTTCAGAATTTCCATACGATGGTGGTGACAGATGGTTAATGGTATAGTCAATATTTTTCTAGTAAGCCACCTAATTCTGTCCAATGCAACGAGTAAATGCTCCAGATTGATGATGTCAAGAAGATATTGAATAATTAGAAGATGAAGAAAAGAGCATAAATAATATGAAGTCAATGAATTTATGAGAAGAAAAAGAAGAAAGCAAAGAAACCATGGAAAATAAAGTGGCTGAACCCTTGTTTTTCTAAGATAAAAAGAGAAGAAGGTATTCTTCAAAAAGGAAATTAAAAAAAAAAAAAAAAAATTAAAAAGTAAAATGAGAAGGGGTGTAAGCCCACTAGCCCCAATTTTTTACCCAGAAAAAAGAAAAAGAAAATCTTCAAGTTCTTTACTTTTCGAATCAAGGTTTTGAACTCTGTAAAGGTTCAGGACTACAACACCAATTGGAATGATGACTTCAAGGAACCGGAATCTACTTTCCATCGCATTATTATAATTTCATCTTATTTCCTAACAAAATAACTAGAGTAGGGTGAACCTTGGGCCTCACATTCTACACTATTCTTTTTCTTCCTAAATTCTCTATGTTTTTTTATTTCTTTTCCTCTCTTTGAAAACCATTAAACATGAATTAAGCAACGCCATATGTAATTAAAAGCAAGATGTACAATTAGGATAGTTATTTTCATTCTGTGACCTTCTGTTGGACAATAAAAACAAGGCATGCATCAATTCCTATGTAACAAGGAAAATGGCACTTGTGTTCCAGGGAATGTTTAGTATCCAGAAGTAATCTGCAACTGATATTAAAATGATAATAGAAGCTAATTGTGTGTACAAAAACCCTTCACTCACCTCATGATTAAGAGGTTTCCATAAAAGGTCAGAGCCTGCAGTAACAGCCATCTGTCCCAGGCAAGAAACCAATGTGTCATCAACTTCGTTCAAACATGGCAGATCTGGCAACTCTTCCAAAGATGGTGGTTCTACTACAAGCTGTGCAACTATAGGTTTCAGCAGGATCTGCAAAGAGGCATGTCATTATAAATAAAGCCTGAAATCAACCAAATCAAAGATGGATTTAAAGAGAGAGATGCTCCTTCACTCTCTCTTCACATCGTTCCTGTTCTAGTTTTATTCATTTGTATATATTGACAGCATCCATGGCCCTCGTTGATGCCAAGGAAAGGAACCAGTACGAGACCCACCATAACTGACTATGAACAGATGTATAAACAGCAAAACACATGAGAAGAAAGAAAATAATATGCGGATAATCAACTCAATAAGATGAATCACAACATATGGAAATTGGAGTAATAAATCCATACAAAGATAAACATCCAAAGGGTCTCCCAAATGAAAAGAATTCATATTCCAATCAATTAAAATAGAATCTTTTTACTTCTGAACTATTTCAGCACATCTATTATTTTTTATTGTCTTATTAAATGCAGAAGCTGGTAGGAGCACTGGAAAATATTCATATTTGTGTTGCTTATAAAAGGGATATAGTTTACAGGACTGAATACAATTGGACATGGTCACTACACCAAGTTCTTCCAATTCAAATTTGGAGTATATATAGGGGATCCTCTGTCAAAACCAAGAAACAGCCTTTCAAAGTGAAGAAAGACATGGAACACATGAAGGGCTTGACCAATCAATTATATGTGTCCCTTAAGTGCACATCCTAACCAAAAGCCTCAGTACTTTTTCTGGCAAATCAATTTAGTTTATCAGATCCCCTTGGCTATACAGAAAAATACTGCTTATGTTTTCAAAACAGAGAATGTTAACTAAATGAATCACAATAATAAATCAACTAAATTAGTATTCCTTCGACATGTAATAAGGGTTGTCTTTGACTTTTTAAGTAGCCTTTTTTGCATGAGGGTAGTAGTAATCAACAAAATTACTACCCCATGTTTTCTTTTTCTTTTCTTCTATTTGCCTATTTCCAAAATAAAACTAATATCTCATGATTGTATTTGTTTGTAAATGCTAGAAAAAAAATACTAAGGTATGTCCACTTGTTTCTCAGTTATCATCATTATTTAAAATGAAAAAGCAGATATTAATCACTTGCCTGGAAATTAGATGAATCGAGAAACTTCAGGCTCCCAGTATCATAAAGAAAACATTTATGTAAGGATGATAAGATAAGTGCCCTGAGATGCCACTGTCCAGGTGATAACACTTCTTTCCCTGCTTTTTTACTACTGTTCTCCTCCTGAACTTTTGCCTTCTTTCTCTTTTTGGAAATTCCATCAGATGGTGTATTGGAACCATACACTAGATAGCGTGTGCAACTGTCGAGCAAGTATTTATAATAGGGAACAAACAAAGACCTGCAATAAAAATCAAAATTCATTTACAAAACTAATTCACCATAGGCCAAACCCCTAAAATTGAAATATATATATAATATATACAAATTTGTAAAATTAAAAGTTTTTTCAATTAAACTGTAGATGCATTGTACCTTGATTTGAAGTGCCCATGAAATTAAATTAAACATGAAGGACAGTGATCATACAGGGAAAATGGTGTTGTGTAAAAATTGCCCAACTAGTAGTTGTGTAAAAACAATCAATCAGATGGAATGTGACGATAGTTAAAAGAGTTCTCTAGGTTAAACAACAAACCAACCTCAGATTTAGTACCCTTATCTAGGGGTGGCAATTTTTAACCCAACCCACCCATTTACTTGGCGGGCTGTGTGATCAACCCATCACCCAACCCACCCATTTAAATGGATTGGGTTGTGGAACACCATTGGGTTAACCATTATAGACATAAGTATTAATTCCTTAGCCTTTTTTTTTTTAATTTTCTCCATTTGAATTAAATAATTTATAATTAATGCATTAATTTTCTATTAATAATTTAGTTTTGTCATGAATCAATACACTTCACCCAACATAAATCCAAATCAATTTGACCCAAGTCCGGACAAGTTCAACGCGGTCTGACCCGATCCAACATATACTGATCCGGGTCGACCCGAACCCGAAATAGACCTCGAGCGGGATGGTTCGGTGCTACTTGCTCTGTCCAATTTGGGCCGTCTGGTCCAACCAATATTCACACTCCAACCTGACTCGGTACATGTCAATCCAGGTCGACCCGGATCCGAAACGGTTTTGGGTGGGATGATTCGGCCTCCGCGTGCTTTGTCCGCTTTGGGAAGTCCATCTGACCAATATTCACATGACCCGACCCGATTTAGCTACATTGACCTGGTTCGGGTCAGCCGGTCCGTTCCCAAACCCGTGCACAAACCTCATATGGTCCGGTCCAAGTCAATCCACCATTGACTGAACCGGTCCAGTCCAGTCCGACCGAATTGATCCAGATCTAAACGATTCAACCACCCTTGAACCTAAGTGGTTTAAGTTGGTCTGACCGGTTTGAACCTAAGTGGTTCGGTCAAACCCGGAATCCGAACATAGTCAAATGGCTTCGCCGCTTGTGTAAAAATAACATGCATGTAATGTGATTTGAACCTTCACCACTTATGTAAATAATATATACAATAACCACGAAGCTACAACCAACTTATTTGTTAAGAGAGAGAGAGATTGTTTTTAAGTCCATAAATATAAGATTAATGCGTTTGGGTGGGTTGGATTGGGTTAAAGCGGGTTTGGGTTGGCCCAAACCCAACCCATTTAATTTTATATGACTGGGTCACTAATGGGTTGGCGGGTTAGATGGGTTGGGTTGAAACTCAACCCAAACCAAACCCAACCCAACCCGCCCAATTGCCACCCCTACCCTTATCCGTCCCTTATAAAGTACAAGCCCAAAAAACCAATAAGACTACTTGCACTCCTATTCTTGAAAAAAAAGTTCAATGGTATTAATCAAAACTCACAAACAGAAAATAAGTGTTGGCATACTCAGATGAGATTCAATATTGAAAGACTCACCTTTGTTGCTCAGCAAGTTTGTTGACCAATCTGTAAAAGGAAATAATTCTATCTAAATTCCTCCTTTCTGCACAGCCACTTTCTTCCACTTCTGACTCTGCCCATTCAAGACTCTGAATAAAAAGAGGCCTGAACATGGTCTCAGTAAGCTTCATTGTTAGGGCAACCATTGCATTGATAACACTATGCTCCACAAAATCAATATTTTTTACTGATACAGGATGTTGTCGACGAAGATCAAGTGCTAGTAAGCATTGTTCAAATATTCTAACATGATAAGATCCAATAGATGATCTATCCATCATGCCAACTAGTCCTGCTAGCATTTCAAAACAGACTACCAAACTGGATTCCCCATGCTTGATAGCTTCAGGGTATATCCTCACCAGAGGTGAAAGAGTAAGGCGAACCTGTATAATTCAGATGAAATGTGATAAACAATTTCTCAAGTTATTAAAAGGGGGAAAAACAGTGCTTGTTGCTTTAGTAGGGATTTTCAGTGGGTGAAAACTTACTGGGATTTTCTCAATGACAAGTCTACGCACTACACCAGCTTTTTGATTCATCTTAAGATCCAATCCGGAAGCAAATTCTCGATGCAGTACCAACAGCTCAATAATATCAGCAAGATAAGGATTTAGGAAAGAACCAAGCTTGTCCACAATTGCCTCCAAGGTCACAAGAATTGACATCAGAGGAGATTCCTTGAAACTAGAAGATCCAACGAGAATGGTATCCTTCCCATGTTTAGATTTTAGAGACAAGCTCGAGGCATCACGAGCCCTCTTTAACAAGCTTGCCATAATGTGGGGGAGAACAGATAATGCCCTTGGACCAAGCACATTGATCAAAGCACCTGTCGTTCGAAGACAGCTAAAAGAAACGGCTAAGTTGCATGAACCAATGTGCTCTGCTACAGATTTAAGGCATGTGCTGAAGATGGAATTATTATAGGAAAACTTGTTTGCTAAAATTTCCAGTGCAGAGAAAGCAGCCAGCCTGACAGGGGTTTCCGCATCGTCCATAGGATCATCAATCAAATGAATAATTTCCAAACACATCTTGTCAAATGTCTCCAAGTCATTCTTGTTTAAATGAAGCCAAGAACTACTTGAGTTTTTGTTCAAGTTTCTTTTCTCCTTATGCTTCAGTTTATCCATGTCATGATCTTTTACCGTCTCACATAAAAGGCCCAGAGCCTGCACAGAAAAGTATAAATTTTCCAGCATCATAAAGCAGCTTTAAATAGTCTAATTGGGATAATTCACAGACAAACAGGTTGAAAAGAATTACATAAACAGGGGAACCTAGCATAAACAGTAAATCATTAGAACAATTAGCTACTGGTAAAGCAGTATGGATCTGATATTTATTATGAAATAGATGAGCTGGTTAGATCATCCAACAAAATTGACCTTAGCAGAGTGGACACCTAGGATCACTATATGATCACTATAAAGCCTGAATATGACTCAAGTAGGTAGTTTAATTATGCCACTATACCTTCTTTCTCACATTTCTGTCAGAATGCCTGAGCAACAAAGTAATGCCTTCAAAATATGCTGAGGGAATCACACTCTTTGTAATTTCCCTAAGAACAGTATCTACATACTCTTTTAGTTCTTTCCTTATGGCAATAGGAATATTTATTTCCTTGCTTCTACTGCTGAAAATTTGCGTGTAAGAAACAACCTGCTCCATAAGTATTCCAAGCATTCTCTGTAAAAAGTAAAGAATTAATAAGGTTTAAGTATCAAAAAATATGCCAAACAAAAATGTTCCCCATAATAAAAGTAATTTAAAATGATGATGTTGGTGGAAAAATCATTCATCCAAATATAGTAAACATATAAAAAATTTCAGAAATATCATATTAAAATATTGTAAAAAATTAACAACTGATGGAAACATTATAAATATGCATGAATACAGCCATTTAGATTATAAGTTTGTTTTAAATCATCAAAAAAAGCAAACAAACTGAGGTTGAAAGACAAAGTAATACATTGTGAAGTTGTTTTATAGACAATTCAAAATTGATAAAAAGCTGGTTAGAGAAGGATGATGAGATGTGGGATTACATTAATGAAAGTAGGAAACTTAAGTAGTTGACCCAGGGTATTGAAGTGAGATTGCAGTGGGTTAAAAGAAGTGTTAGTTCCCTCACAGATGCACTGGCCAAACAAAGAATTGGAAGGGATCAAATGTTCTGGGCTATTCTGTCATAGTTGTCAAGGTGACATCTAGGCGGGCACCCTTTGAGGCTCACCTCGCCTAATCGCCAAGCAGTTTTTTACTTCCTACTATAAAATACTTTTTTGTTCATTCTTTTTTGAAATTGTAATTATAAAATAGACATTATTAAACTAAAATAATCTTTTTATTGTTTTCTTATTTATTAGGGTTTAATCAACACAAACATTGCTAAATGCTGTATTGAACCCTCAAAGACTTCAGAACCTGAACCAATAAGGAAAGGAAGAACTTAAAATTTTATCTAGTCAGCACATTTTATTCTTCCATATACTACTACTACTACCATTACTTTTCTTTTCTTCTTTTCCTATAACAAAAATAAGGGTTCATCCCCTATATTTTTTGAATTTTATTTTCCTTCTTTTTCTTCTCATGAATATGTTGATTTTCTATACTTCAATATGAACTTTATATTTTTCTTATGAGAATTATGAATAATTATTAAGGAAATATGGTTATGGTACCTAGGGAACTACCCTAGGATCTATGTTTTCAACATAAAAAAATCCATCGCCTAGGCGACAAGGCACCCCCCCCTGTCGCCTAGCCACGCCTTGGCACCTTGAAAACCATGCTTTCTGTACTTGTATCTTCTTTCATAATTCTAATAAAATGTTTCAGTTATTGCTAAAAAAAAAAGAGATTGTTTTATAGACTTTAGGAGTTAGAACTAGTGAACTACAATAACAGAATAAGCTCAAGAAAAAATTGAACTCATAAAATGTGCAATTTATGATGCAAACTTGCACTAAACACCACAATGCAAACCTGCACACCCAACACATTCACACAAAGACCAAGAGTAAAAAGAGCAAAAGGCCAAAAAGAACAAGTACAAGGAATTAATGGTTCAGCCACTTCTTTCTCCAATCCCTACCCCTTATTGCTTTACCTTGCTAACCCATCAGTAGGCCTGTTGAAATTTACTTAATAAGTTTCCTCAACTGCTGTATTTCATTGTCGTTTTATGTTGCTGAATTTCCACAAGAACTCACCACTTGAGGATGCTCTTTCCTAATAAAACAAGAACTACTCCACCATTCTCAACACCCCCATGGGCATTTCATGTTACAGTTTAAAGTTGCAGCCTCCATTACTTCTTCATTAAACAAGAATCCTCCTCCATAAAACCACTTTTGCTGAAAGACAATGATAACTATCTCTTTCCACTTCATCTAAAGAATGATAACTTATTGGTCCAAGTTTTCTTTAATGTCCATACCACATCATCTGAAGAATTATTAACAAGTGGTGGTAACCTTAAGGTTCAGTCTTCTAGAAATTTACTATAACGCCCACAATAAGCTACTGAATTATCAGTTTCCACATGGAAGGGCTTTCCCATGGTGTCTATCGGCTTTGGAGGGAGGCCCCACCCAAACAGCCCATAAGAAATTTTTGGCTAAAAAAAAGGTTTCCATCATTGAAGATTCCTTAAGGCTATGTTTGGTTTGAAGGAAAAGGTAAGGAAAGACAGGGAAACCAATACAAGGGTTGTAAAGGTTTCCCTACGTTTCCCATCCTTTCCCTACATTTTCCTTGAAATCGAACGTAGCCTAAGTAGCTACTCCAAAGCAGACCAACCAAAGCTTCAGCCCATCTCAAATGAGCCATAAGAATTTTGAGCCCAATGTTCCATGGATGTAATCGACACGAACAAGACTTATCGTCAAGTAGTTCAGCAACTAAAAGTAATCATAGGTTTGTATATAAAACAGTAGGGGCATGTCACAATAACCATTTTCATCATAAATAAACACCACAAAAGACCACTGGTTCCTAAAGGTAGCACCATTTAAATTCCAGAAAGACTCCATCATCCAAACCTTATCCCAACTAAATGGGGGCGGTTACATGAATCCTATTTCACCATTCTGGGCTGTTTAACTTCTAGAAAGACTTCTTAAATCAAAATTGTCAAAGCAAAACACATATTGGGGCTCCAATCACGCAAGTGCAAAGCTTTTCTATACAAATCTTTATAGCATTTTGATATTTTGTGCACCATATCACTCTTTTCATTACATAATAAACCAGTGTGTTTCTATTATTTTCTTATTTTGTTAGGGTTCAATCAACAAAGATTGAGGACTTTGAAGACATGAAGCCTTGTAGCAATAAGAACTTGAAGTTGAAGACCTTGACTTGGAAACAAGGAAGACCAACCCGATTGCAGGTATATTCATTTTACGGCCCCATTTTCTTGTTTCTCGAGGATAAAAACTGAGGCTCCACCACTTCTATGCCCCTTCTTATTTTCTAAATTCTTTTCCTTCTTTAACTGGTACAGAAACAGTCTCTATGCCCCTTCTCAATTCTGAGGTTTTTATGCCTTCTGTTTTCTGATGATAACTGGGACTCTGCCACTTCGCTGATTTTTGTCTTCTTTTTCTCTGAGACATAAACAAATGATCCACATCCTTATACCACCTTCTAATCTTCTTCTTCTCCTTAATAACCATGCAGAACATGATTTTTTTAACTGTTTTTATTCTTTAAGCAGGAAAATGATGTCAAACCATTAGTCCCTTACTGTAGGGCTGCAGCTTGGGTATGTTTGGGACGGGGATTTGTTAAAATTTGACCATGAATTTTATTGTTGCTTTTCAGAAAAAAAAAAAAGATAAAAAAATGAATGGCCACAGTTCAAGGGCCCAATTGAAATAACACTTGAATGTGAGCCTTGAGGTATATTTTTATCCTTTAACTGTGCTTCATTCAACCTGGAACAGTTTCTAGATAATCCATTGCTATGAACCGAAGAGAATTAGCTTAGGATTTAAATCCCCCCTCCCAACTGAAATAACATAAATAAATCTGTTGTTTAGGCAACTCCCATTTGGGTGCTTAGAAAACTAGGTGACTAAACACTCCACTGCCACCTAGCTTTGCCTTGGTGCCTTGACAACACTGTTTACATGGTATATGTCTCAAAGAAGACAATAAAACATAGATGCAGAGTGGTGGAGAGTGGTGTTTTTGCAGGTGATCTATGGTCACCTTTGTTGTATCCTTTCTTTTTTCTTTTAATAAATTCTATTTTATTACCAAAAAACGTCACACAAAGATGAAATACCTGAATGCTCTCTGAATCTTCCCCAGATTCAATCTTGAATATCAATTCTGTGTCTCTTAATTTGTGCAGAATAAATTGTAAAGCAATGAGCAATTCCATAAATTGCTGTTGGCACTCATTATGCTTTCCTATTTGCTGAATAAGGATACCTAGAGATGGAAGCCATATAATACATGAATATTGCTCGACCACCTGTACTGCAAATGTGTACTCCCACTCCGTGCTAGCCATGGCACTAAAACATATACTTCCATCATAGCATGACTTACTTGTCCTTGAAACCAATGAACGAAAAAGAAGGACAAGCAGTGAAGCCAAGCTACTTTTTTCACCCAATGTCCTGTGAATTAAGAATAATGTAAGTAGATGTAGAGGGAAGTAACTAACTCTACAGTATTTAATGTAAAATACCTTAGTAGGTATATTATAATTGTCAGCCTTCTGTGCTCAGCAATTTCAGGCAACACATTTGTGAATATCTGGAAGATGCATTCAGGAAATTAGAAGAAGCTTATGTGACAGCATGGCATTCACCAATAGCAGAGAAGAGATGTTCACTGCTTTAACCATACCACTACAAAATAGTTTAATACCTGAAGCAATTCCACTGCATCATCTGTTTTAGATAGCCAGCATGGAACTATAGTAGATATCAGGTCCTCAAACACACGTTGTGAGTGATTATCACACTAAAATTGGTAGAAAGCAAATTAAAATGGTCAAATTGAAACTGATGACATGTAACATAAAATGATTGTAGTGAATTGCTTATGCATTTGGACAGAAAAAATGTCTACAATAAACAGAAACAATTACCAACCTGTGTAACAGATGACTCCCCAATGATGGTAAATATCTCACAAATATGATCTAAAACTTTATCAGGAATGACCTTTGCAATAGAAGATAATAATGAGAATACATGATTTCGAGTTGTTCCATCTTTTGCAGTATGTGCACATTCAACTAACAGTTTTATGTCAATTTTGTTCAGAATTTCACCCTGCATTTAATTCACATTCTCATGTTACAAAGATAAAGGTACCCAAAAACGGCAATTTAAGACAAGATAACTCTAGTTGTCCACCAGCTTTAATACAGGACAAACCTGAAGAGGAATATTAGATAGGAGTGAAGCATTAATGTCTTCAAGAATTAACAAAGTTGTCTGTTGAATATAACATATTTGACTGGAAACAGTCTGGGAAACGCCAGTTGAGGCTTCAATCCATTCTTGATCCTGGCCAACCAGCCTGAGAAGCCACTCATCAGTAAAGCTTTTCTTGAGAAGCTTAAATAAAGGCCCTATCAGAAAATGTCTGCCAATCAGAAATTGGATAGAATCAGTCTGAGAACATGAAAACAGACTTTGAACTATGCATGTTAATGAATTCTGGGAAAAGAACATGGATATAGTCACTTAAAAGGACCTGTTGTCTATATCTTTCTTCAGAAGCAAAACATCAAGAAGAGAAACAAGTAAAGAAACTACATCTCCCCCCCTGTGAAAATGATCAGGATGTAAGTCATATCTCTGATGCTTTGTATGTTTCTTCTTTCTCTTTCCATTTGATGAACCAATAAGGTGCTCCTCTTGTGCAAGAATGAGCTCAAGCAGCCTATCAACGGTTGTGCAAGATATCTACAAAAATTGAAGGCAAAGCTGTAAATGATCACATGTCAGATCCAAATGTTTAATCAGAATAAGGTACAAAATGACCCCATCCCACCCCATAGTAGTCAAGGAGAACCAATAATTCTAAGTGATAAGTGGTCACCTCCACCTAGGCAATGGAACTGACAAAGAAAAACCTTAAATTCTAGGTAAAGCTCCAAATAAACCAGCAAGCATAAAAATTGAAAAATGTCAATGTTTTTTACTAAATAATAATGTACTTCATATCACAATATAGCAAATCAATACCCAAATAAAAATAATATTCCAAATCTATTATTAATTCTAATATTTCAAACATCATATTACAATACAGTAAGTACTCTTAACAAAGCAACTGCACAAAAAATATTAGAAACAAAAGAAGACTAACTTTTTACTCATAGACTATTTAAAGGAGAGAATAGAACTGAAAGAGAAACAAAAAAGGGATGGAACCCTTGCTTCTGCTTAATGAGAAAGAGTAATAGCAGAAAAAAAAAAGGAGAAAAAGAAAAGAAGGGTTCCTCTTTCTTCCCTTTTCTTGCTCCTTAGAAACCTTTGATCTGTTATACGTCAACGGTTAAACCCCAACACAGTGATACATATAATTAGTATATCATGAGATGTATCAAGAAACATACTAATGAAATGCACCCATGATAAAATAAAATAAATTGAATGGCATATCAAATTTAGCCTGCTTGATAAGAGAAACAACCAAACTCTCATATAAGACAAATGAAAATAAGGGGGTCCAATCTATGCTAAAATGTCAAATTTAGCGGAAGACACAAACATTTAATCGAAGAATAGCCTCTCTGGCTGCATTCTGTATATCGCCATTATCATTGCGAAACAGAAAAATAAGCTCCTGGAATAGATGATCCTGCAAGGAATAAGAAAAAAGTATGAAAAACAAGTGAGCTTCCATGTTTCAAGAAAGAATAAAATGCTTTTAGCAAGGAAAGAAGGAAGGAGCCAATTGGAAACAAGGAGGATGTAGTTGAGAAGATACGTAGTCATTTTGAGTACTTCAAAGAACATCAATTACAAATAAAAGGTCAACATTAAATTATCACAAATAAGCTCTTAAAGGGCAATTTTAGGAGAAAAAAAAAGAAAACAAGGATTATCAAACCACCACAAGAGTAAAAATGCATTTTAGGTGATATTGCATTAAATAAATTATAATATTTATAATATCTGGCTTCGGTCACATTACGAGCCAATATCAGTTCCCAATGAAACTGTCAGTATAGTGAAACCTCAATTCCCATATATTAGAAAGAGGAGCCAGCTTTGAACAGTAGGAGGACCAGGGGATGAGCAAAGGATCTTGTGTAGAATCCTCCAGAAACCCTTAGAAGTAATAACCTGGCAATGTGAAGCAGAGGATGCAATCCTTCAAGGCTTCATAAGATGTTTTTCCACCTTGAAGATTAAATAATTCCTTTCCTTTTATACCCTCCCCCAAAATTGCCAACATGAATGATATATGTACAATAAATACAACCCCTAAAGTAGAGGACACATCTCTAACATTGTTTAAACATTTCCAAGACAAGTGGATAGATATAAACGTTTCCATCCAATAATTTTTTCTCTGTAGCCATTACATTCGATGATCTTCATTAAGCTGCTTTTCACACAAATTGTCATATCCTAGGTCAGGCAACGGAGAACCAAGTTTTTTTCTGAGAATAAACCAGCAACCGTTTTATACTTAATGGATTGGACAAATATTTAAGAGAAAAAAGATTTAAGGATGAGAAATCCAATAATGATAGATAATCAGCTTCTATTAGTTTCTACAGGGCATCAAAGAGATACAAAATTCTTCCTTTCAGCCAATAAAGGGCTTGATCAAATTCAAGTGCGATAAGATAATCAGAAATCATAAGATTGGGAAGGTAGCACACAAAGGGTTATCACTCCACTACCAGTTCGGGACTTTATAAGGTGCCCACTCTCCCAAACAGAAGACCTAAGTGAGGGTTGCACTTGGGGATAACAAAGATTAACATCCCATCCATTGTTATTCATCCTAAACTTGTAACAATTGATAATGACACAAACTAGCAAATTCAAGCACTCCCCATCCATTAGGAGTGCAGTGATCCTTTGAAGGCTTCAAAGGACTAAGGTTAGTAATTTATTTATTTATTAAAATGAATATAGATATATACAAACATTTATATTTGAAAAATATTGCATACTCTATTACTCCTTTTTCACTTTCATATATCAATGAAAATATCTATGGGATTAAACTGCTTTAATAGGTTCTAATTGAAGAGATAATGACCTGATCCTCTGCCTCCAAAACCCTATATAGTGAAGAGCTCATCTTTCGCAGGACAGTGACACAAGGCAATACAATGGCCAGATTTTCTGAATTAGTACCACCAACCTGGAAAGAGACATTACAACAACAATTAATATCACAAAGAGTTAGGAAAGAAAAAAACCTTAAACAAATGCTTTCAACCAATTATTGGTCAGGTCAGTCAGTCCAGTGACCCTACCATAATCCCAGTTCAGTTCAACCTCTAACGTGCTAAATTATTAAAAAAATAAAAAAGCATTGACTTGGTCAATAACAAGTCAAAACATCTGGTTGAACCATGTGCCCATCTGACCAGTCCAATGGATTACCAGTTTTATGTTTTTTTTTGGAATTTTTTTATAATGTTGACACCAAGGCTTGAATGGTTCAACCTCCAGGCCAGGTTTTAAAAAACTATCTTGAACACCAAATCACTCAACTGCAATTACTTACTTGCAAAGCTTTCAATAGAAAATCTATGAGAATATCTTGAGCAAGTGGAGCTTTCGGCATAGCGCATACCTAAGAAAATAAGGTATGGAAGTCTCATTAGAAACAACAGCAATGAAAGAGAAAATGATGTATTAGAAAGCGAGGACCAAAAAAAATTAAATAATTCCATTATATCCACCTCCAGTAAAAGACAAAGAATTTCAATTTCAATCTTTGATAATTCCAAACAGGATTTGTCAACCCCAAGATGATACTGACTGCGCCTTTTCAAAAGTTCAGACAGCAATAACTTTACGCCTTCTACATCCATTATTGCAGTGCCCATTCCTTTGAGTAAAGATAAAACCATAAGCTGCAAAATATAAAAATAAGAATATGGCATTTATATTGTGTATTTGAGACTTTTCTTGCAGAAGGCCACTGAAGAAACCATATGATGCAATTATCCTAATTTCTAGAGCCTTTAACCAACTGCAGAACAAAATCATTAGATCGGAAATGACAGAATTTGAGTACAGACCTTTCCATATGCAGAAAGTTTAAGCGCAGATGTCAAGATGAAATGAGAGATGAATACTTTTGTAGGCTTATCAAACCTGAGAAGGTTATTCAACAAAATTTGTCACAATAAACCATGAAAAATCTTGGCAATAAATAGAATTCTTCCAAAATACCAAAACAGAAATAACTAAACTAATATCTTCATGATCCACGTATCCCACCTAAACCAGAAATTCTTGGTAGATGTTTTTTAAAGGAGTCAAGCAGAAAAGGAAAGATCATGTGGCTTTTCACTTTGACCAATAACTGATTAGAAATTTATAAGACCACAAATAATAAAATCAATTACAAACAAAAGGTATAAAGGAGTGATAGTACAACAAAGTGAGCTGTCAAGTTGATAGACAAAACGTAGACCACAGTACTTCTACCCCAACATACAAACAACCCATGATTAAAAGCAAAGTAGCCTTTTATGAGGAAGGGGAGGATATCCCCATTATAAATACTGTCTAGCAACTCCCTCTCTTTCCAGAGAATCAGTAAGAGCGCTTTCTGATCAAGGAACCAAAATGATAGATGCAACTAAAGGCACAGGACTGCAGCTTAATTCCTATTGTACATGATATATGCACTTGAAGGCATATTAAAAAAATACATAGAAGCTCACGGCTCACAAAAAGAACTAACTAGGTTCCAGATGGAACTAAAACCTTACAAATCAAGCGATAAACAAAATGTTTCATACAGTGCCTACACTATAAAACAATTTTCCCAAGCTTTCTGCTATTATCACTAATCATCAAAATTTGAGGATACATAACAGAGTGGAATGACAAAATAGGATTCATGTGGCCAACCCAATATGGTTGGATGATCATTATTCTTCAACAGCCAAATCAATTACTGAACTTTCATAAGAGTGACCTAGAAATACAAAATGCATCATCACAATATGCCTGGGACAGCTAAAAGAGTGCAACAGAAAAGGACAAAAGCTAAAACTAATTTTGGTGAAACGATGATTTTGATAGTCTGGCCCAATACCCAAACTTAAATAGAGGACTTCAGCACCACCACCTAAGGTAATTCCAGAAACTCATGCATCTGAAAATGCATGCAACTAAAATTCCCCTTAGATATATGAATGCCATGGGTTGTTAAATATTATTCATCATATGATCAACTAGATAGGGATTTATTAATATAGAAGTCCTAGTCATAGTTGTCAAGGCGTCACCTAGGCAACTAGGCGCCCTTGGCTGGGCGGCTCGCCCAACGCCTTGACTTTTAGCAAATAGGCACCCTTCTAGGCGACTAAGCGCCCACCTAGGCGACAAAAATGACAAGGCAGGCGCCTTCTATAATGTCATTTATATTGATGCATCTTATTAATGTATGTGTTACTACATTTTATTATATGTTATATATATACACACATATATCAAGTATACTTGTTTTAATGTTTTACTATTGAAATTTAAAAGATCAAAGGGTTTTGAGGAGAGAAAAAGAAAAGGAAAGAAAGAATAGAATAATAAAGTTCTTTTTTTCTATTCTCTCTCTCTCTAATTAAATAAAACAGAAAMTCCATCCTTGTTTTTTTTCTATTTTACTTTCTATCTTGAATATTTATCATATAAAGTTAATAACCTACTTTTGCTGCTAATTAATATGAATTTGCTCTATTAAATACTTATTATAGTAGTATTATTTTTGAAAATAAAGAAATTAATACATGTAAAAGATTTTTATCTTTTAGATGTGATGATTTGCCACATTTTTAGAGGAAATTTAATGTTCTTAATAAAGAGAATTGCTATTTTTTCAATTAACATACATGCTGAATGGTATATAAAACTAGGAAACTAGCCAAAAGTCAGTTTTTTATATTATAAAACTTTTACCACCTAGGCGACTAGGCACCCCAATGTCGCCCAGAATCGCCTAGACGCCTTGAAAACTATGGCCCTAGTTTCACACCTACTACTTAAGGCAATTGTAACTAGTCTCAAAAAGTTTTGGATTTGGTTATGGATTATTGGTGTAAGCAAATTTTCAATTCTAAAATCATTGGTACTCCACTAGTACAGTTGGAGTCAATATTAAGTCAAAAGTCAATGTCAACCTAGTTGAATTGTTTCATTCTTGCTTATTGTTGAAGATGGAGTTGTCAGTCCCTCGTTAGATTTGGGTCTCCCATGGTCAAAAGATACTGATGAACTCTCTATTTAAAACTAATGAACCAAACTGATTAATAAGTGTTTGTGAATGACATCCAGAGTATAGGTAGTAAAATCTTCATTGTGAATACCTACTCTCTTGACTCCATGATAGTGCATCAAATACCAGGAGCCTACTGGTCCACTACTCATCCAGCCAATTGTCCTATTTGTACTATAGTAAGCATTAGCAAGCATCTAACTCCACTAATCAGGAGTGAAGAAATATGGGATGGGAACTATGATGAGTAAATATATTTATAGGCTTGCAGCATGGTAACTAAGAAAGTGCCATGAATCTATCAAAACAGCAATTTGAAAAGTAGATGTTCGATCATGGATAAAAATTTGGCAGGATTTGGTTTGACAACCAGCAATGCAATTATTCCCTTCTTTATTTTTTGTTGCCACTACTAAGAATGCATTCATAAAAGATAACTAAAATGTGCATCCACATGGTGTGGTATGAAATCAACTATTCCTACATTATCCAACTAGGACATGGATATGCACCTAATTGTGTTTCCTGAGTTCATTCTTTCTTCAAGAAGCTGAGGGCTCAGTGAGGGTGACAGAGGGGTAACCTCTGACTGCAACAAATGTAGAGGCTCAATCCTAATGGTGTTTCATGAGTCCATTCATGGTTTGGACAGCTTTTACCATGAAATGCCCCATAAAGGATCAATAGATTAGAAGGGAATACTTCTTCAAACTGTTTCCTCCAGCTTATACAAATGGGTCCATGAATATATCAATCAACCTTTTTTTCATGGTGACCTTAACCAAGCCCTACTGGTAAATTTCTTCAATATCATTGGCGTATGCTGAATCTTTCTAGCTATGATTAGAAAACCTAGCTTGTGCAAGCAGATTAAAAGTGCCGACCAAAAGAGAAATGGCTTAATAGAGCATCGTTCCTTTTGAAATTACTTGGACATTGTGGAAGGGAAAATGAACATATCTATCAAAATTAAGATCAGCCTGTACCATTGTATATGACCTATCAACAGTTGTTGTTGTTTGTTTCTTTGTTTGTTGGGCAACCATGGAGCCCCTTGTATAAATCTAAATCTATCTTTTGATAATATAAGATACTTCCTCAGAAAAAGAAAGATATTCATCATCCTACTTCCAACTAATCCTTCCTTCACATCAAGGAATATATGTCCTTTGAACTTCTCATGCATATGCATGAGTGATACCAATGTAAAATAGCATGCAAAACATGATCCAGCATGTTAAATATTTCACTAAAGGTTCTTTACTCTTATAATGAGCACCAAAATAATTTATCCAATGAAATAGAGAAACAAGCCAGGCAGGAGATCAAAACCAAGGGGTTGACCACCATCAAAACCAAGGGGTTGATTGTGTTCCCACATCTAAAGCTACAACAGCATGTCAGAAAAATTGCAAGCTGGATGCCTATGATCAAGAAGATACATGATACTACTAAGTGTCAATAAAAGAAAGAATGAAATAAAAATAACAACAAAGTATATAAAGGAATAGAAAGGTGAAACAGGGACTCTAATGAGCAGCCAATGTATACAATAAATGTCATTTTTTTTATGATTCTCTAATACATAATATTTTCCTCCATATACATCCATATTACCATAAATGAACACCTAATGAGCAGTTAATGTAGACAATAAATGTCATTTTTCCTGTAAAATGTTATTAAAGAACAAAGTTAAACAACTAGACCTCTTTAAATGTATACCCAGGGTCTTGGGTCCATATCTGTCCTGATTCTTTCATCTTGCTGAGTCACAGACCTAGACACATCCATGCAAAACGGGTCCCAAATATCCAGGGTCTTGGGAAGGTGGACTAGATATGGACCCAACCTTTGGCATTTTGACATTCTCAGTCTCAAGCCTGCATTCTGACACAGCCTGATACGTTACCATGACACTAAACAATGACCCCTAAAAGCATCTCCTTTTCACAGAACTAAATAATTTTCATAATAGACGGCTTACAAATAGATGGGAATGATAATTTTGATGATAAAAACATTAAAAGGCACCTCTCATCAATATTATCTGGCACTAAAAGGCTACTGCTGGAGCTCAAGATAGAAGTCAAAAACGATGGAAGAAAGATTGGGTCTGATGAAATCAATCTCTTCTGCTGAACCATTAACCCCAAAAGCTCCTTCAGAGGTACCCACTTGCTATGAGCCAACAAAGTATCCCCACCTGTCATTTTACTATATTAGAAAGTGCCAATATTCACGCAAGAAGAAAGTAGAAACCAAAAAGGGGAACATAAGAACTTCTTCCTTGATAGAGAATACACACCATTTTTACCATTAGAAACATCAGCATGGCACCACAGCCTGTAGAGCCCTTCAATGCAATCCATGGCAGCAACTCGCATATCCTGAGCAAAAAGATAATGGTACTTTATGATTCAAGAAATAACATTTGAGAGGATAATGGTGTACCAGAAAGTATATAAGATTAAACGGACCAAGTAAATAAAAATGAATTTTGAAGACATCTGCAAACATAAAACCAGATTAGACTAGAGTGACCGGTGAAAGCACAAAATGAAACCTGGTTGTCACTGGACAATGGAACAAAAAAATAAGGAAAACCAAGTAGGATTTCTTCTGGCTGCAAGTGGCTGTTTCTTATATTCTTCTCCAAAGATGCAAAATGAAAACAGATGGCCGCAAAAGAATGAAGACTCTCAACCTGAAGTGCTATAGAGACACCTAAAAAGCAAAAAAAAAACAAACAAATATGAGACCACATATGGACAAGACATTCCCATAACTGAGTCATAAGAATTCAATCATCACCAGTTTAAGAGGCAAAACTCAACAATGCATTGACCTTCCACACAGAAATTTATGAACCAAAGCATACTAAAAAAAATTATATGGAATATTCAACCAAAACATCACTGATAAAAAAGCACAACTAGTTCTTGAATTCTATAAATAACATACAAAAAAATATGTAGAAGTAAATAATAAAAAAATAAATAAAGAACGTGTCAATCTGATGTTTTTAAGGATGCACCACAAAAGCAAAGATAAACAGGCTAAGAGAAAGTAATAAAGTTAACCTTCTTCTGTAAAAAATTTGGATAGGAAGTGGAGAGGAGAAACGTTGCACTTCGTCAAAAGGAAATGAAGATGTTCCTTAAAAACATGCTTCAATTGAGAAGCTGTAAAGAAAACAAAAAGATCCTGAAGTGCAAACAACCATTCCCTATTATCAACCTGCATGGAGAAGAAGATATATAATTAGCCCTAAACATTCTTGTACACATGTGACCACAGGGGAGTAAGGGAGATTGAAGGAAGAACGACAGACCAAGGTGCCTTGCGGAGCAGTAGAAATAAATCCTTTTAGCAAAGTCCAGTATATGCAAATCAAAAGGTTTGCGTTTAACGCTTTAAAATTGCAGTCAAACAGCTGGCAAAAGAATGCACTGCAACCCTTATCCAACTTTTCCACATTGAACTGCTAATAAAACAATAAAAGAAAAATGAAAGTAAGCAACATCAGAATAGCAGTATTCAATTTTACAAAACAAGTTCAAGTACCAATTCCATTACCTCTTCCACAAGTACAAAATCACCCTTAGCCTCAATCTCATTCCACTCTTGTTTAATAACTGGGAAGCAAACTTGAAGTAGTGCTAAAAAGCCACTAGTATCTATCAAGCAAAGACAAAACTATCAGTTACAGAAAAATAGTTGTCAAAAAACAGTTCCAATGTGATACGCTTTTCTAATAATAAATAAAATGCACTAAAATAAAATAAAAAAAAAAGAAATGGAAAAGCTAGATAAATATAGGCTTGGTAAGTTGCAGGAAAGGATGAGAGTGTTCTGTTCTAGCATGGGAAAGATGTGGTGGTTGAGAAAGTAGAAGCTTGGGTGGGGGGCTGGGTTTCGAATGGGAAAGAGAGAGCATTGGGGGTGAGGAGGTTGAATGGGGGGTTGTTACAGAAGAAAAACAGTCCCAAACAAAGAAATAAAAATCTGATTAGAAGATGAAGAAACAAAAAGAAGACAGCAAGAAGAGAAGAAGAGGAAGAGAACGATGCAACAGAAAGGGATGAAAGAAAAGAGTTGTCCGTACTCGCACTCCTTTCCCTAATCCTTTTAATTAAAAAGATTAATCACTAATTAACAGAAATTGCAAGTAAGCCCTTAGTGGGGCAGCTAGCTATTTAAAACATAAGAAACTAATGCCAACAGGCCCATAAGAAAAGGTCCATTAACAGAACATAACATAAACAATAATAAACAACACAACTGTGGGCTATGGGCCATTCGGCCCATCTTCTCTACACTCCCCCTCAAGCTTAGCATAGATGTCAATCATGCTCAGCTTGCTTGTATCATGTTGTAGCTTCGCCTTGTGAAACTCTTTTGGTAAGAATATCAGCTAACTCTTATTCAGATGCAATACAAACTTCTCCAAAAGTCACTCTTTGTCGGATGAAATGCTTGTCAACTTCTATATAATTTGTTCTATCATGCTGTACAGAATTGTGGGCAATGTTAATGGCGGCCTGATTGTCACAATACAGCATCAGTGGTCTGTCATACTCAACACCCAATTACTCCATCAGGGACTGAAGCCAAAACAACTCAGCAACTCCATGTGCTGAAGATCTGGCAACAACTAATTGTTTCTTGCTCCTCCAAGAATCAATATTACCTGCAACCATACTACAGTACCCCGAAGTTGACCTCCTATCATCAATGTTACCTGCCCTGTCAACAGCTTCCAGTTTCATTTGGTCATGCTTAGCAAAAGGAATACCTTTCCTTGGAGTACTCTTCAAGTAACATAAAATCCTCTATGTTGCTGCCATATGTGTATCTCTAGGGGCATGCATGAACTAGCCAATGCAACTAACAGCAAATGCAATGTCAGGGTGAGACATACATAGATATAGCAGTTTCCCTAGCAACCTTTGAAACACTCCCCTATCCTTCAACAGTTCTCCATCAAAAGCAGAAAGCTTGTGACTCGTATCAATAGGGGCAGCCACCGGTCTTGCTCCCATTTTTTCTGTTTCAGTGAGCAAGCCTAGCACATACTTGCATTGGGATATGAAGAAGCCATCTTTATACCGAGCCACTTCAATACCTAAGAAATACCTCAATTCCCCCAAATCTTTGATCTCAAACTTTGTATCGAGGAAGGCTTTCAAGTTATCAATCCATGTCACATCAATGCCAATCACTACAATGTCATCCACAGACTATACGATATACCACTAATGAACCTCTCCTCTTCAGAAAGAGGGTATGAACAGACTGAGTTTGTGTGTAATCAAAGTTAACAAGAGCAAACCTAAACCTCTCAAACCAGGCTCTAGGTGATTGTTTGAGCCCATAGAGAGACTTCTTCAACCTACACACCTTACCATACATATCTGGGCCATACATCCCTGGTGGGAGAGACATATAAACCTCCTCAGGTAACTCTCCATTCAAAAAGGCACTTTTCACATCTAGCTGATAGAGGAGCCAATCTGAATGAGCTGCCAAAGATAGTAAAACCTTTATAGAGGTCATATTCGTAACAGGAGCAAGTCTTCAGGTAGTCAATCCCATACATCTGTGTATAGCTTTTTGCAACCAACCAGGTTTTGTACCTCTCAGTGGAACCATCAGCATGATATTTGATGGTATACACCCACTTATAGCCCATTGGCTCCTTCCCTTCAAGCAAATCAACCACTTCCCATGTGTCATTCTTGTGCAATGCCTCTATCTCGAGTTTCATAGCATCCCTCCATTCTAAAGTAGAGAGTGCTTCTGATATAGACTTGGGCATAGGGCGAGAAGAAACAAAGGAAATGAAGGAATAATAATGAAGGGGAAATAAGACCATAAGAAAGGTGTATAGAAATACAATGTGTAGTACATTTTTGTTTACCTTCTCTAATGGCAATAGGAACATCGAGGTCGGGGACAGTGATTTAAAAGGCGCGCCTAGGCGCAAAGGGAGGCGCATTTTGGGGTATGCGCCTCACCCAAGTCCTAGGCACACCCCTTTCAAAAGGCGCACGCCTGGTGCACCTTGTGCCTCAGCCTAGGCGTGCACCTTTTTAACATTTTGTGTTTTTTGTTGTCCATTCATTCATTGCAATAAAATATCTTCTTTGAAGGCAATGAAAGTTACAAAATCATTATTTTTTATGTGAGAAATAAGAATTTCAGACCTTAACATAGACTTGTTTGGGCTTGCTTCGAGGGGTGTGGTACAAAGGCGACTCAGAGAATCAAGATGCAATATGTTTTACATCACATTAACTACTTGAAACAATGCAATTAAGGAGAAAAAAAAAGAGATTGTGGGTTTTACATGCTTGAAAATGCTTTATGTGTTTGCTTTTATTAGTAAACTTTCATTTGAATAAGCTTTACATGTTATGTTTATGTATTTTAATTTTAGATAATAGGTTTTTTTAAATATTTATTTAAACTTTAAGTTTATATTTTTTATTAACATTATGTTTAATATATTTTGAATTTTTTGCTATTTTTTAAATGTTTTCGCTTTTTTTTACTTTTTTTATTTTTAGCTTTTTTTTTGTAATTTTGCACCTTGCTTAAAAAGGTGCGCACCTCGCCTTGCGCCTTAGGCACAAATTGGCCCTTGCACTTTTAAAACACTGGTCAGGAAAGGGGGGCTGCAAGGGTGTGAGCTCAGCAATTGTTGTCTCTCTAGTAACTGGAAGTGTAGAAGGCTCATGTGATGTTGGAGAAACAATCTACTCACTCCTAGTCTTTTGCCACTGGTTCCACCTGTGAATAGTAGGAGGATGAGGAGGCAATGGTGGACAAACAGGAATAGTGGAGGGACTAGGGGATGATTGTTCCCCTCTGGACTTCAAGAGAAGAAGATTCAAGTGAAGAAGACTCAACAGGAACCGGAAGGGGGAGTGCAATCAACTGTGACAAATACTCCCCCTTTGAACGATGCTCCCCCTGAGATGAACCATAGAAAGGAGTAGACTCAATAAAAGTGACATCCATTAAGACAAAAATGAGTCCCACTACTAGGATCAAAGCAACAATAACCCTTCTATGTGGAGGCATAACGACGGAAAATGCACTTATGATCCTTTGGTTCAAACTTATGTTTCTAAGTACTAGAAATGTGTACATAGCAAGTACAACCAAAGACTCGAAGGGGAAGAGAAAAAAACCTTCTTATTTGGATAAAGAAGATTAAAAGGAAATGTAAAGCCCAAAACTCTAGAATAGCATGCAATCGATTAGGTATGTTGTTGTAAGAACAGCGTCCCCACAAAACTTTGTAGGAACATGTGAAGCAAATAAAATGCTCCTTGCAACTTCAACGATATGACAATTCTTCCTCTCAGCTACTCCATTTTGTTATGGAGTACGAACACAGGAGCTCTAGTGGATAACCCCAAAGTCAGTGAGATAAGAAGTCAGATTTTTCTCAAAATATTATGTTGCTTTACCGGATTGAAATATCTTGATTCTTGTATCAAACTAGATAAAGACAAATTCATGGAATTGTTTCACAAGTTTGGGAACCTCATCACAAGATCTCATAAAAAATAACCAAGCATACCAAGAAAAATCGTCAATGAACAAGATAAAATATCGATAGCCACAAATAGAAGGCAAGTCGTATGGCTACTACACATCAGAGTGCACAATATGAAAAGGAAAGGTGGATCTCTAATTACTCTAAGAATAAGTGTTTCTACAATGTTTTGATAATTGACATGACTCACAATGCAAACTAGACATGTTAACTCCTTTGAACAACTCTAGAAATAAATGACTCAAAGCAGAAAAGGATAAATGACCCAAAGGAAAATGACATAACAAGACACAACTAAAGACTATAAAGAAGTAGACCCAAAAGCAACTCTCTCAGGTTGTCCTTGGCTTTGTCCAGGAGTATCCAGCAGATATATTCCATTCGCCTCATGGCCACTCCCAATCACTTTCTGAGACTTCAGGTCCAAAACAACACAATAAGAAGGGGAAAAAAGGTTATACTATAGTTTAAGGATTTAATTAGGTTGCTCACTGACATCAAATTAATGTGCAGCTTAGGGACATGAAGGATAGAAATAAGGGAAAGGGAGTCGATGGCCTTGATGACTCCCTTACCAAAGATGGAAGCAAGAGAACCATCAGCAAGGGTAATCTTATCATGGCCAGAAAGTAAGTCATAAGAACTAAATAAGGTAGAAATGTTGGTCATATGATCAAAGCGCCAAAATCTATAATCCAAGGGATTCTACGATTACCTGAAATTGTTGCACGGTTGGCAGTAGCACATATACCTGAATGAGCAAATGCAAAAGTAATTGAATTGCTTGAAGAATTGGAGGTAGCTACACTCTCAAGATGACTAATCATCCTCCCATATTTCTCATACTCAGCCTTCATAAAAGATAACTGCTCACTAGCGGCTTTCTCATCAGTTGCACTCCTGTCATTATCTCGAACTATAGCTGCATTGGCATTCCTAGTCTTCCCATTTTCGGCCTCTTTTTAAAACAAGGTGGAAGGTTTGGATGCAACTTCCAAACATGTATCCTTGGTATGTTTCTACTTCTTGCAATACTCAAATATAACCTCCTTCCCCGCAACCACCTTAGGTTTCACCCCCACATTAGCAAAGTGGTCAACTGGAATTGCCCCTTGAACCTGAACCAGCCTCCTACTCTCCTCACTGCTCACCATGGCATAATCTTGAGAAAAAAATACATTGTCTTTAGCTAGGATATTCCGTCTGGTAATGTCAAATTATGGATTCATCTCTGTCAAGAATTCAAGGACTCCATTCCTCTCAACGAATTTCCTATATGTTTTCATGTCCTTTGTACTTTCCCAAACAACAGTTTCCATGAGATCTATCTCATGCCACAAGGATATCAGCATTGAGAAATAGACTACTAAAGGTCTCTCCCCATGTCTCAAATTGTTCACATCACTTCTTAATTTATATGCTTTGGCCACATTCAATTTTGCGAATAGGTTTCAGCAACACTATCCCATATCTCCTTAGCAGAATTCATACACAGATTGTGTTGAGTAATTTGGGGTTGCATAAAATTCACTAACCACCCAATAACAGTGTAATTCTCTTGCAACCATTTTTCATGAGATGAGTCATTTTCTTTTGGTGCTTTCTTGCTACTGGAAATATATACCCACTTGCCTCTACTACAAACATGTATCTTTACTGATAGTGACCATGCTAGATAGTTACTCCCATCAAGCTTAATTGTGGTCACAGCCAATAAAGAATCTATGGGTGCTCCTGGAACCTGTCCGGGCTTTAGCCCAACTTATTTTCAACTCCAGAACCATCCATCTTCCTCAAAAAAAAAAAAAACCAAGACAATTTTCAAATGACAAATTAGGAAGACAGAAAAGAAAAACACCAAGTACCAACCTTCACAGATCCCCAACAGTATAATTGTGACTTACCCAACACCCAGGAGAAACAGAGAAATAGCAACCGCTCCTTGTAGACTTCACAGAACTAAACTCTACTTGGATCGATCTTCAAGAAAACCAAAAAGGACCCCTTCAACCACTGAGCACCAAGGTGAAGCCTCATGTGGGACCCGCAATCAGAAATCTCCAAATAATTAGGGTTTTGGTCAAGGTTCCAAAAATTGTTTGAAAGGTGAACAGAGTATCTTCTTTTCTCCAAAAACCCACTACCAACTAGGCTAAATATCTTCTTCAATCATTCATTGATTCAGCTCCCCATACACACTCTGTATGGGATTAAAAGAAAGAAAAAAAAAAAAGAAAGAGAAAAGGGGTCTGCTCTGATACCAAGAAGACAAACAGTCCCAAACTAAGAAATAAAATCTGATTAGAAGATGAAGAAACAGAAAGAAGACAGCAAGAAGAGAAGAAGAGGAAGAGAATGATGGAAGAGAAAGGGATTAAAGAGAAGAGTTGTTCAAACTCTCACTCCTTTCCCTAATCCTTTTAATTAAAAAGATTAATCACTAATTAACAGAAATAACAAGTAAGCCCTTAGTGGGGTGGGGCTAGCTAATTAAAACAAAAGAAACTAATGCTAACAGGTCCATAAGAAAAGGCCCATTAACAGAACAGAACATAAACAAAAATAAACAGCGCAACTGTGGGATATGGGCCGAATGGCCCATCTTCTCTACAGTTACTTTTCGTGTTCCACAATAGGCAAGCAACAAAGTGGGTATTAGAGTATGAGAGCTCAAGAAAGAGAAGCCTTGATCTGCGACTTGATTGGTGGTTCCCAGCACTAGGTGAAGTGTCTGGAGGTAGAAGGAGACGGACAGTGTGGATTGCGGTCAATGGCATTCCGTTACACATGTGGAGTATCTAAACATTCGAAGAGATAGGCAATAGGTGTGGAAGACTTTCGAAGTACAATGATAAAAATTGATCTTGGGAGAAACTGGACATGGCGAGGATCTTGACAGAGGCAAAGGATACTCTCAATCTCTTTATTTTTTTTCCAATTTCATTACTTCAAATAGCTAATTTGATGTTAAACATTATGTATTCCTGATTCTACAAGCCACCTTTGTACCATGCCCCTCAAGGCAAGCCCAACAAATCCATATCAGGGTCTTAAGTTCTTAATCCCTATATAAAAAGATTTTATAAATTGTCTTTTAAAATATTGATATGCCTAGGACATGGGCAAGGCACATACCCTAGCAGCCATACAACTGATTTGATTTACCTGGTTGCCATCCCTCATTTGTGTCGCATTTTGTTAGAATAACTCTACTCCACAAGCTGCACCCTTGCTGCCCCTCCAATACCATTTGTCTAGTAGTGCAATATTCAGTTTTCTTAGTCTTCATATTCCCAACCCTCCATTTTTCTTTTGTTTGTAAACTTTCCTCAATTTAACAAAGAAGACAACACACTCTTGATTAAGGTGAGTTTGCCCCCTTTAGTTAAATATTTTGCTCACCAACCACCCAATCTTTTCTCCACCCTCTCTACTATGGGTTCCTAAATGGATTTTGTATTGCACTTAGCCCCTGAGGGCATTCCCAAATATTCGATTGGTAGCTTTCCCACCTTAAAACCCCAATAAACTGCCCATTGTTGTAGCTCCTGTACCTCCCCCAATACCATCAGCTCACTTTTATGTACATTTTAGATGTAACCCTTAAACCACTTCAAACCACCACAGGGTTGCCATCAAGTATTCTTCTCTCCCACAGTAAACCGTAAAAAAGGAATCTCTATTCTTCTCTCCCAATGGTAAAACCTTGTAATAAACCACCCATAGCTGCTCTCAAAACCATGTTACCCAAAGCCTCCATCATGCATAAAAATAATAGGGGGAACAAAGGGTCACCCTGTCTCAAACCCCTTGAACCCATGAAATGATCACAAGCCATGCCAATAACCAGTTCCTCCACCTGGAGCTAAAATTCATTCTTCCTAACAAATACACCAAAAAAAATCCCAATTTACATGGTCATAAACTTTTTCTAAATCCATTTTACATGGTAATCCAGCTCTTCCACTCCTAATCCACGAATCAATTAGCTCATTTTCTATTAGAACTCCATCTATCAGTTGTCATCCTTCAACAAAAGTCCCTTGAAAAGCTGATATAACACTGCCTATAATTGGTTTCAACCTTTTGGCCAACACTTATGATAAAATTTTGTAAATACTCCCAACTAGGCTAATCGACCTAAAGTCCCTAAGAACGTCAGCACATTTTTTCAAAGGGATTAGAGAGATAAAGGTACAGTTTAGGCTTCCCTCTAGTGCAACAGAAGAATGGAATTCTATGACAACATTCATAATGTCTTAAACCCCAACATCTTTTGAAGAACATCATTGTAAAATCATCAGGTCCCGGAGATTTATCACCTTCCATTTCATTAATTTCCTCCCATCCTCCGATTCAGTAAACTCTATATCTAAAATTCTGGCCCGTTATTCAGATAGTCCATTGAATTCCAACCCATCCACATTAGGTCTTCTTCTCCATTCTTTATTAGAGAACACAGAAAAAAATTGTATTGCTGCCTCTTTAATCTTTGCTTCATCTTCCACCACTTCCCCATCAATAACCAGCTTCTTAATCATGTTTTCCCTTCTTCTACAAATTTGCCATTTTGTGGAGAAAAAAGAAAAAAAAAAAAAAAACTAGTATTTTTACCACCCTCCTTCAGCCATAAATATTTTGATCTCTGTCTTCATTTCATTTCCTCTTGAAGAGCTAATTTATCAAATTCTAGCTTAGCTTGCGTTCACTTTCTTTTATTTTCTTATATATTAAGTTTTTTTTTCTTTTTTTTGAAGGTGGCACCTCACTTTGATCAGGTGTGTGCCTCACACTCAGGCTCTAACAAACCCTGGTGCTTTTATTGTACATTTGTACTTAAAAAATGATAAAGTCCACAAAAAAACTCTGTAGGAAACTTAGTAGTATAGAAAATTCTCAACAAAATGGAAGCTCCATAAAGAAAGAAATGGTGCAGAAAAACTACAGAATATATTAATGAAAACATGGACAATACTAAAAGACAATGATAATACAAAAAAAAAAACACATATGATGAGAACATTCAATGGCATTAAGGTAAAAAGAAAACCATCCAAATATAAGGTAGTGTACATAAAAGCAAGCATCAAAGGTAAAAATGCATAGCAAAAAACAATGTCATACTTACTTTCCCTATGGATCACAAATGACTGCATAATAACAAAGAAAATCAATGTCCTTGACAGATCAAAAGCATTGCAACAATCAGCTAGCCAGGGCATATATTCTTCAGGTTGTTTGTAGAAAGCTTCAGCCAATGCCCCAATAGTACCCATATTAATTGAAGCTACAGTGCTATGTTCCAATTTCTGCATAAATTCAAAATCTCAATTGAAAATCAGCAAGAGCATAGTATATTATTTTAACACCACCATGAAATTTAATTCTGAATGAACAAGTAGGTACCACAGGGTATCCAAGAATACCAAGATAATACCAATTATAAGAAAGAAATTAAATTATCCGTAATCCATGATATTTGCACTTCAACATCCAAATTAACAACTACTTAGTACTTACAAAATATAACAGTCACTTCGCAAGCAATCAAAAAGTTGATAGAAAGGAGATAAAGGTCTTTCATTCCTATGCATCTCTTTCCTGGTTTTTCTTTAGATTTTCACTGGTTAATATTTCTTAACATGCAAATTCACTTCACCACTTCTTCCCCACTCATGTGCTTTCTTCCTTTTGGCTTTTGGCTTCATTTGGGAAGACTGCAAATACAAATGTCTGGTTCATAAAAATGCAAAGTTGCTTTAATTTTGCAGTTGCAATGATAATTTCGTACTCTTGCCAAAGATTTTAGTTGTGATGCATGCAAACACAAATTCCAAGACTGGAATGAACTTTTTTACATTGACCAAATTTGAGTGCAAAAGCTTGCATCCATTTGTGGATGCAAACTTAGTTCTCATTTTGAATGCAAACAAGTCTTGCAATTCGTGTCTTCTGTCATTTTCAATACACAAATGGATTCTTATCAAATGCCTGCGAACCTGAACCACAGTGCATAAATGCATCAAACCGGCATTTGCACTCTTCCCAAATGGAGGTCTAAGGCTTAAGAAATCAGGTCTAAGGCTTTAGAAATCAGCATTGTCAAACTAGTTCAAGCTTGGAAGCTTGAAACATAATTAAAAGGTTTCACCATCATCTAAACCTTGACTCAACTCCCAACTATATGGAGACATCTACATGAATCCTATTTCGCCATTCTGTTCTGTTCAATGCCATATCCGTTTTTAAATTATGAACCCTTAAACATATCTTTATCTTACAACTTTAACCCATGTCCTTTTTAGTCTACCCCTAAATCTTCTAGCCTCTTAACTTGTAACAAACCGTTTCTTCTTATTGGTGCTGTAGATGGTCTTCTCCGCACATGACCAAACAACCTTCCAAAATAAGTTGACTTCTGACCCTGTCCTTTCTAATTTTTCCACTCGTAAATCTCAACATTCAAATTTCTACCACACTCATTTTTTAGACATGTTTCCTGACAATCCCAAAAAAATACTAACCAAACAAAGAACTGACTAATCTGGTGTTTTCAACTACCACTTGAATAGAGAGTGTTTTGGAAAAATATTTTGTAGCAGGGGCATATTTTACTAGCAAATATTAAGTTTCTGATGCGAACCTTAATTTATGTACCTTCTTTGTAGCTCACTGCTTCTAGCAGAGACTCCTCTTACTTTTTTCTCTCTTTTTTTCTTTTGAACAATAACTGCAAATTCATTAATATTAAGAAATATGTGTACAGAAAAAAAGACTGGGAGATAAACTCTCTCATCTACCCGAAAATTATATTTTTACAGTTGCGCCCAGAATATGTTTTCTCTTCCCACCCCTTGCTTTGCCAATACATCAGCAAAGCAGTTTACATTTCTCTTGACACATTGTATTCTCACTTCAATATCTTTGGTCAGCCAATTAAACTTGTTCTTTCACTGTTGTAGTCCCACGGCTTCATTTCTTTACTTGTTAACCATCCTACTACCAGCTTTGGATCTCCTTCAATAATTAGTTTTCTAATATTCAGCAGTCTTGCCCTTTGTACTCCTTCTATCATAGCCATAATCTCCGCCCTTTGTACTCCTCACTTTTTTCTCTCTTTGCAATAAAATATTGCCATAATAATAAATATTTGCACATATTACACAAGTAAATAAAAACAGACATGGGAACATCTTTTGCCAAAAACAAGATAAAGACACATGGACATTCACTGGTGAAGGCCAGTGAAGATCAAGTGCACTTAATGAAGTGAGTCATGAAGTATTCCTATCAATGTGAACCACATTCAAAATGTCTCCATGTAAATGTAGCCACATTTTAACTGACAAGCACTTCATGCACACTTCAATCACCACAGAATGCCAAAAATTTCCATGCAAATGCAAGCACATGAATGCTTGTGCTTGTCACTACAAAAATGCTTATCACTAAATACATTCTTTTAAAATTTCGATAGTGATGCATCAAAAATCTTACATACTTGTTTCTCAACCACATTAATAATACAAGGGCTTCAACTAAAATATATAATTCAGGTACAATGAAACAGAATAAAAAAATAGGCAAAAGAGATGGAGGAAATGTCATGCATTTCCTGTAAAGCAGCAGCAAGAAGCAACAATATAAAGGTGCAAACGAGAATAAGTGTTTGGTTAAAATGTAAATGCTTCAAGCAAATACAAGCCACGGCCATATAAAAAGGACAGTCAGTTTCAGATTCCTGAAAAGCATAGTGTAAATTTCAAAAAAATGTGTGTTCCTCTTGACTTCAATTTTCAAGAGAAGATAAACTCTGCCCCTTTATACAATGTGAAATTGAACCATAGTAATCACAACCACCAATTATCAAAGACATGTGAATCTTTTATAATGCTTCATTACAGATTTACAAGAGATTACATACTGATAAGTAGGAAATGATTGGTAGCTCAACCAAGAAACTTGGCAACCACACAGATACTTATCTTTAGAAGAAATGAAAAAAAAAAAAAAGCATGTTATATCCACAACAGAAATTCACCTTCTGTGTGGAGATCATATTATATGTTCCGTCAAGATTGTGGTAGAATGGCCATTTTGATCTCTTAGCCAACTCCAATGCCTTCATATTTAACCTCCACATCTGTAAACGAGGGGAAAAATTACAACCAATGCCAAAAGGACAAGACACAAGGAAAGTAAAAGACAGAGAGAACCTATACCAAATAAATAAACTTAATTAGTAAAGTAATGTGTGTGAAGTTTTAAATATGAATGCAAATGTGGCACCTTGGGTAGAATTAGAAGTAATGGAAACAACAAGGTAGCAAATTCCCGTGAATAGTCTAGCTGATCTTGGAAGAACTGAATTGCACAATCAAGGCATGACAGAGCAACATCAGAGGCTTGAGAAGTGTGGGCAGATGGACCTGTAAAAGAAAACAAGGAATGCGAAAAAAAAGCATACATTAAGAAATCTGTTAACTGGACACTGTGCACATATGAAATCAGTGTAGTGAAATTAAAATTATAATGGTTGTTTCTAAGTAAATAATTTTTCACAAACTATAAACATGAAAAAATGTGACTATACTAGTACTATAGTACATTTAGTTGTGCAGTTGTGCTAGCCAGTATTACAGGAGAAAGACTAAAGGGGTTTTTTTTTATCAATAGAAAGACTAAAGGGTTTGGCTCTGCAGACACTTGGAAAGTGTGCAGATACTCAGCATTTTGCATCACTTTTTTTTACGATTGGTAATGATGAACTTATAATTAAAAAAGTATTCATGAATCGAAGTTTTGTTAAATTGTTTCTAAGAAACTCTGATGTGGAATTTATAATCAAATTTTGTAAATCAAGGTTTTGATAAAACATCTCTTAGAATTTCTTCTTTGGGGGAAAAATGGTTGCAGAGATTGCCTGTGAAGCCTTGAAAGCTTTGAAAATCCATCATAAAAGGCATCCAACTATCGAAGTTCTAGTTGCCAATGGGTGGGATGTTGATCTTGCAAGACATGCTATGTTATCCTCTCCTTGAAACTCCATTTCAGTGCTCCTGGAGTCTATCTCTTCATTCATCAGATATAATCCATTGTTTATTCATGATGGATTTCCAAAGCTTTCAAGGCTTCACAGGCAAAGAGATACAACAATGGATGGAATGTTGATCTTGCAAGACATGTTATGTTATCCTCTCCTTGAAACTCCATTTCAGTGCTCCTGGAGTCTATCTCTTGATTCATCTGATATAATCCATTGTTCTGAAAATATATAATATTTAGGGAAGATTTGTCAAGAAAGTGGAAAATACTCCTCTTTGCCTATTGTACCCTAGACTCTATTTCCGCCTATAAAAACTTACATATTGTTCCTTGCTACTCAATTCATTGGGCTTGTCTTTGGAATTTGGTTTTAGAAGAGGACCGAGGGATTAGAAGCCCTTTGAGGTGATTCACCTATTAAATTGTTGGATGGAGTATGCCTTAATACCATTGCTTCGGAGTCTAGTGATTAATTCACCTACTCCTCTTAACAAGGATATCTGGTCAATGCTGATCACCAAAAGGTTTTCCTAATGAAAGAATAGCATTGGTTCCAAATCTGCATAAAATTCAAATTTTTGTTCCTAGATGGCCCATTTGAAAATTAATACTTATGAGATGTTTCAGTACCTTAAATCAATCAACCATAGTGATGGAGAGATTAAGGAGGATTTTGCCCATTGAATGAAAGCACGGCGGTGGAAGTGGAGAGGTGCATCTGATGTTTTGTTAAACCCAGCATACCAATGAGACTAAAAGGATAGTTCAATAAGACAATTATATTACCAGAAGTGCCATATGGGGTGGGGTGTTGGGCAATCAAGAAACATGTTAAAATGAAACTAGATGAGATGAGGATATTCAGAAGGATGAGTGGCAAGACTAGAAAGGACAGAAACAGAACTGAGAACAATAGAGAGGACTTGCAAGTAGCACCAATTAATGACAACATGGATGTCAACTAGGGTGATTTGATGTAACTGGAGAATGGAGGAGCTAAGGCTCCACTCATGGCATACCCCACTGGGGGTATAGTATTATACCATTATCTATTTTCCAATGGTATAATACTGTAATGAGAGTACAGTACTATACCAAACAGAAAAAAAAATAGATTTATTATACAGAAATTTATCACTAAGTTTCAGCATGATACTCTCCATTATCAAAATATTCTGATTAATCTATTCAACATTCCAATTATGTTCTCTATCCATCATTCCATCCTCACTTTCATATCCAAAAATGTGTCATCAAGGGTAATCAGTAATATGAGCAAAATAGACAGTAAAATATTTTCAACTATGATACACAGACATGGATACCGGAGACAGAGATACAACTCTTCATTTCCTAAACTTCAGGACACACAGATATGGGTACAAGAATCCAGTATGATCTGATTATATCATGCTTGTAGAAGGATTGAAGCTATCTGTTAGGTACAATTCTATTAAAGAGCATTCCAACTGCAAGTAACCTTTTACGTCTCCTTGAAGGATTGAAGCCATCATTCTAGGAGGCTTTGAAAGTCTAAAAAGGAAAGTGTTTTTGACTACGGCCTCTGAGCTGATATCTTCCCCTCTCTTTAAACATGTGAGCTTGAGCAGCTGAATGGGAATCTCTTTGAAATATTGCATTCTTGAGATCCTGCCTTTCAGCTCCAGAACATCCCCTAGCCCAGACCTGTTAGTGACTTTTATTTGAAATTTGATGGCAGTTTCAGAGGAATTGATAGCCGTAAAGGACTTTCTGGCATTGGAGGCATATTTCAGACTCTAGAGGAAACATTCTTTGGGTTTCAGTGCACCAGCTAGCATTGCTGATGCTTCAGAAACTGAAACCCAAGCACTGCTTACTAGTTTAAGACTGGCTAAGTCTCACCATGCTCAGTCTCTACTTATGGAAGGTGACTCGAGTAACGCGATCAGATGGGCATGCAGTCATAAGAGGAGGCCTTGGAGACTTGTCCATCTGCAAAATAAGATTTGGGAGATTTTTGAAGTTTTTAGCTGCAATTTAGATGGATTCTGAGGGAGTTGAATCCTTTAGCTGATTCTCTTTGAAAATCAAGGGTGGACAGCCTGACAGAGTTTATAATTTTCTCGGTATAGTGCTGACTTAGTACCTTTGTAACTGATTTGGGGTTCTTTTTTGGGTTTTTTGTACATCCTCATGTACGGCCCTCCCCCCCCCTTCAATTTTTTATTAATGAAAGTTATCTTTTTTCCAAAAAAAAAAAAAGGATTGAGGCCATCCTCCCCTAACAAGAAGACATACCATTTACTAATTTCCTGTCGGTTTTACTAAAGTCATTTGGGAATGCTGTACTTTGTTTGGGTGCAGGTGGACCCCCCCCCCCTTGAATGTGCAAAGCTTATTCATTTCTAAGCCAAATTGACCAACAAAAAGTGCCAAGATTATGTGGAGATGTATGAGGGCTGCAGTTTGCTGGATCGTTTGGGAGGAGAGAAACTTGCGGATCTTCCCAGAAAAGGAGAGAAGCTTGGAAGTAATATTGGAGACCATCCATATTAGGGTGAAACATTGATTAAAAACTTTGGCATTGTTTGCAGAATTCTCAGTCAATGAGATGCTAAAAAACTGGAAGGAGATTGCAGAATTAACTTCAATTAAGAAGGCATCAAACTCTTGTTGGATTCCTCCACCTAATGGCTTTATTAAACTGAATTTTGATGGCAGCAGTATGGGTAATCCTGGGCCATCCGGAATAGGGGAGCAATAAGAGATGAACAAGGGAATCTGTTAGCGATGTTTTCTGGACCAATAGGGGTGGAAGATTCCTTGAGGGCTGAGATACTTGCAGCTCTTGAAGGGGTACAAAGAGTCAAGGATATGCATTTTAAAAAGCTGATCATAGAAGGAGACTCCGAAGTTGTGGTCGACTGGTTAAAAGAGGATAACTCTAGGATATGGAATTACAGCAATGAAAAGAGAAAATTTAAGCGGCTGACTAAGGACATTAAAATTCAGTACAAATGGGTAAAGAGAAGCGTAAACTCACTGGCAGATGGTCTAGCTAGGCAAGGGGTGAACAGAAACTCTATATTTTGGGCTGTTTTGTAATTGTATTTTGGTGTTCAATGGTTGTACTCGGAAGCTAAGATGGTTTAGCCCCTTTGCTTTGTAATTTCTCAAATTTTTAATTCAATCCAATTCACAGTTATTGATCAAAAAAAAACAAGAAGACAACACCCCAAACAAAACTTCCACAATTCTTCCACCTGTCCTAAAATCTCCAAAAACAATATATCAAATTTAATCTCTGAAAACAGTATATCAAATTTAATCCATATTTGTTTTTGTCTTTGTTCATCTTCACTGCCTAAAAAGAACAAACCCAAATTCTTCCACCCTTGAACTTCTCTTTCAACAACCAATAAGCCCACCTTCGTTGGATTCTACCTCGCCTTCCATCTCCAAACAATCATCAGGATTTCATATAGAATATTACATAACTGATTAATTCTAAAACATTTATTAAGAGATTTACCTGTGGCTGCTTTAGTATTTTTGTTGGTCTTCTCAGAGCATAAAGTGTTTCCTTTACCCTGATCCAAATCTAGATAAACCTTGTAACAATAACAATCTCATTCATTCTACAACATCTAGTTTTTGAATCATATAATTTCTCAAGGCTTACATCTTGCCAAATATAACTAAGTTTCCACAATATACAGATTTTTTATAGAATGGTATGATTTTCCAAAACATGTCATTTTACATATTCTTAAAGTATTAATGCTAAAGAGTCTAGAAGTGTCAATTTAGATTCCAATGCCATACAAGTAAGGTATTGTGTCCAAACTGGTATGCTAGGCATGTATAGGCATCTAGGAATCATATATTGAGTCTATTTACCACAAAAAAAAAACTAAAACTAGGAGAAATTAGATCTCAAGCACCACAACTCGTCTTTCCACAATAAATTAAGTCAAAGTATCAGACAACTCACTGCTCATATAGAAAGGAGAAAAATAAACTGGCATCAAGAACTGAGGTTACAAACTACTCACTGCTCATTAAAATGTCAATACACCGCAAAATTATACTTCGAAATGCTTCAAGAAGGCAATTAGCATCGGCAATTCCAGAAAGACCATCCAAAGATAGAGCCTCATGGACTACACTTAGGTCATAATCATTTAGGCGGCGCAGTATTGCTTCTTGAATGGTTATAAGTTTCTGTACCATATATAAAAGGCTGTTAGAACTCAATGATGGAAAACACTTAATCCATTAAAAATTCTTCTGAAACAATGCATGGAACCCAGAAACCCAAAGAAAAGGTCCTACATAGAACAATTAAGACATAACAAGTCATAACTATAAAAACAAACATTAGAGCAAGACCAATTGAAAGGAAAGCAACTGTAGTTAAAAAGGGAAGCAAGCGGCATTGATGGGTGCCCTAGAGGGAGGTGAGAGAGATACTGAAGCTGATGAGATTTCTTTCTGTGCGCCTCAATTCTTATGTGACAGTGTTATGTGTCATATGGGCTGCGTTGGGCCCACCAGTCATTGGTTGGGTTACGTGAGTTGTTATACATAAAATCACGTTGTTAGTGGTGGTCGATATTGTTAGTAGTTGTTAGAGTCAGTTATTAGAGTTGTGTGGTACCACATATGTATTGGTTCCTAAGGAGACATGGAGTAGTAGAAGTTTATATGTATTCCTTACAATAAGAGGTCTCTCGTCTCCCTCAAAGTGCACAAAAATAACGTTATGTCTTACCGAGATGCAATAAAATGGTATCAGAGTCAGTTATGAATCCTGGTTTTGAACATCAACTTGCCCAACTACAAGGAAGGGTTCGACCGTTGGTGGTGAAGAAGAGAAGCTTAAGGAGAGAATGGACCCAAATGTTTGAGCCCCTCTCTGCTCATCTCAATCAACTAGAAGCATCCCATAAACCTTGCAGGTCCAGCCCCTTTACTGTTTACACTTCTAGCCACTATTTGAACAATGATGGTGATGACAACAACAAGAAAACAGTTATGCACTCAACTTGCAGTTTCTACTCTACATTGGAGGATATGAAAACCCCACAAGCAGAGCCAGAAACAAGAAGCACTCAAATCCAGAACCTGAAATGGTGAAGGAGCTAGAGTCAGAACTGGCACTAGATCCAATGGATCTTACAGAGAAAGAGATGGAGGCGGGAAATGCAGCTTGCAAGAAAAAGGATTTTGAGACAGAATTCGACCATTCTGATTCTTTAACAATTGCTGCTTCTTGCCATTTAAGCAAGAACAGGTTCTTAACTGGAGGATGATTGCATGGAATTCACTAACCGACCCACTACTATGTATTTTTCCTACATCCACCTCTCATAGGTAGGGTTATACTACCCCGGTTTCTTCTTACTCCGAGTGATGTAACCCCATTTCCCTCTACTACCCCATTTCTTCTTACAACTTTCATTGCCTTTTAAGAAGATATTTTAAAAAGGCACACGCCTGGGCTGAGGCGCAAGGCGCATCAGGCGCACGCCTAGGCGCACCAGGCACGCGGCTTTTGAAAGAGGTGCGCCTAGGATCTAGGAAAGGCACATACCCCAAAATGTGCCTAGGTGCGCCTTTTAAATCACTGCTGATACCAAGTTGTAAATCACATCTAGAAGAATCTGAATTTAAAAAAAAAAAAAAGGAGAAAGAAGGAGATTGAAAAGAGGGTAGTGATTGAGAAAGAAGAAGAGAGAGTAATTCAAAACCTCTCTTCAGCCCCAATGATCTCTTTTATTCTTTTGTTGTAAACAATACGAACAATTACATGAGTGCCCTTAGTAGGGCGTCCATCACTAAAGATAGCAATAAACAACAATAAAAAAAACAGAAACAGACCCATAACTAAGGCCCACTGCCTACTAACACAAGTCATAAACATAACTTAAATAAAAACAAAGAAACTAAGGCCCATTCAGCCCATTATCTCTACACTTCCCAAATTGTCCAGCACATGGCAGCTCTTGCACATCTCCATTATATTTTCCTCTTCTTTGGCCACCTAACAGAAGAAGAAGCAAACATACTTTGTACATATGGCAGGGGGTCCACTTATAATCAAAGAGAGAAACCAATCCCAAATAGAGCAAGCAAATGGCCAGGAGATTAATAAGTGATTAGCAAGTATCCTATGCCTTTCTTAATTTTCTTTACTTTCTTATACAATCCAATCCCAAATAAGACTATCTTCAACCTGTTAAAAAATTTTTAAACTAGAACAGTTCTTCAATTTTTTTCTTTTACTTTAAAATATGGTTCGTATCTACTTCCTTTCGGTCACAAACCACAACTCGTTCATTATCTCTTGCACTGTTCACATTTCACAATAGAACTCTTGTTGATATTAAGGTTTACTTCCACTTTATTTCCTTCAACCAACTTATCTCAACTTATCTCTGAGAGTTTTGTTTCCCTACTAACTCCAAATTATTCCTGAAATCTGTGTTTCCATTTCCTCCTTCCTCCATCCTCCAACTCTTTAAATATCTTCTTTACAAACATAAAAAAGAAGAAGGCAGGATAGACTGACCGTCTGACAGAGGTAGTTTAGTCTCACTATTCCACAGACTAGAGAAATGGCTAAACTTGAAACCTTTAAAGAGATTTTTGACTGATGTCAATTTGACCAAAGTGCTATCCACCTTGCACTGCACTTTCTCAACTACATACCAGCATACCCCACTATTCTATTTTATATGAGTATACCCCACTATTTTTTTTATCGTATGCCCACTTCTATTTTCCATGGCATACATACTAGCATAAGTGCTTAAAACTAGGGGTGTCAATGGACGATTTTTGGGTTGGATCCAATCCAGTCCAAACCTTATCAAATCGGATTTGGACGGTCCATTATAATTATTGGATTGGGCCAATCCAAAATAAATTGGTTCATATTCTTATCGTAATGAATCAGATCTAAACCAAATTCCCAATAATTCGATCATGAGGCCAAACCCTTGTCCAATTTGAAACCGATCAAAACTAAAGCCGACATGAAAACACTTTTATGAAAGCACTTTTTTGTGAAAGCACTTTTACGAAAACATTTTAACAAAATCGTTTTTATAAAAGTACTTTTATGAAAGCACTTTTACAAAAGTACATTTACGAAAGCACTTTTATAGAAGTACTTTTGCGAAAGCATTTCAATAAAAGCACTTTTACAAAAGAACTTTTATGAAAGCACTTTTATAAAAGCACTTTTATGAAAACACTTTACTGAAAGAATAGATGACTTTCAAATTGTTTGTTGTTTCTTGCATTCCCAAGAAGTGAGAAAGCCCCCTATAAAAACATACCACCCTGAAGTAGATCATTTGGTGTCGGGGCAACCTGCCTAATCTGCGTTAGCATAGGCCCTCAACTGAATAGGTGAAGAGGAAGAAAAGAATAGTCATGAGATAAAGTACCACGAACATAACGAATAATCCAATGTACAGAAGTCACGTGGGGTTGACAAGGAGCTAAAACAAATGGCTCACAGCCTAAACCGCATGAGAGATGTCTGGATGGGTCATGGTGAGATAAATGAGAGAACCAAGAAGTTGCCAATATTGAGTAGCATCAGGAAGAAAGTTGCCCTCTGTCTTAGACAACTTAACAATGAGCTCTAGAGGAATATCAACCTGTTTGGCGTCCATAATACCAGCAAGTTTAATAAGATCGTAAGCATATTTCTGCCAACAAACAAAGTAACCTCGATCACAATGTTGAACCTCCAATCCCAAGAAATAAGTAAGAGAACCTAGGTCTTTTATATGAAACAAATTATGAAGAAGAGATTTGAGTTCCTGAATTCCATCCTCATTATTTCTAGTCAATAACATATCATCAACAAACAACAAAAGAATTGTGATTCCTTGAAGCTTTTGACGGAGAAAGAAGGTGGTCTAAAGTACTTTATTTATATCATGCACCAACAACATCCCGAAATTTCTCAAACAATGCCCAAGGAGCCTTTTGAGTCCATATAGGGACTTCTTCAACCGACAGACAAGGGAAGGATCATAGTTGTATCCAGTGTTTTAAAAGTGCAAGGCGCAAGGGCCAATTTGTGCCAGAAGCGAGAAGTGCAAGGCAAGGTGCATGCCTTTTTCAAGCAAGGCACAAAAAAAACAAAAAAAAAAGCTAGAAATCAAAATAAAATGTTAGAAAATTAAAAAAATCAAAAATATTAAACATAATAATAATAAGAAGAAATATAAAATTAATGGTTTTAAAAAACCTAGTATCTAAAATTAAAATACATACACATAACATGTAAAGCATATTCAAATGAAAATTTAAAAATAAATTCAAACATATAAAACATTTTCAAGCATGTAAAGCCCACAATCTCTTTTTTTTTTGATAAATGATTGAAATTTTATTCATGATATTCAGAATGATATTACAATACAGCCTGCCCAAAGGAGAGGCGCGAGCTGGTACCTCTCCACAACAGCAACAACGTACTACCTCAGACTAGTAAAAGAAAGTTTACAGAGCTGCCCAGAATAAATGTTCCCTTGATACCCACCCATCCGCTATGGTATTAGCTGTTCTACCCACCCACTGATAATTAACAGTCATGTTCCTTGAAAACCAATTAGCTTTCCTCATAATATCCCTGTAGCACCAAATCACTGAAGCTGGATTTTTTAACCAACCCACAACGACTTTGAAGTCTCCTTCAATAACCCGCAATCTCTTTTTTTCTTCAATTGCATTACTTTAAATAGCTAATGTGATGTAAAACATATCACATTCCTAATTCTACGAGTCACCTTTGTGCCACGCCCCTCGAGGCAAGCCCAAACAAGTCCATGTTAGGGTCTTAAATTCTTAATTCTAACACAAAATAATGATTTTATAATTTTATTAGCCTTTTAAGAAGATATTTTATCAGGTTTAATGAATGAACAACATTAGCAAATACGGGGTTCTCGGAGCTTGGTAACACTGATTCACCAATATCCCCGCCCAAACAATCAGACGATGGTTCTCCCTTGCAAGATATTCTCTTCACATAATAAAGATAGCCCTTTTCCTGATTGCCCATCCAGTCCTCACATAGAAGTAAACTCTATCAAGTTGAAACGGATTGCAAGCAAAGGGACTATAAATATAACAGAGGTCCAGGGTCCTAGAAAAATCAGGACTAGCTGGTTCAAAGGGATTGCAAGCACAGGGATCCTATCACTTCCACTGGTGTTAAGACTCGGACTTTCAAAATCCACACTCTACTTGTTGTCAAAGGATATGCATTGAACAACAGAGATTCTTAAAATTGTACAAAATAAGCGAGGAGCAGGAACTCATGCATTTGTTAAGATGAGGGTAGTTTTTGTATATTTTTTGTACATAAGAGATACATATGAGTTGAGTAGCCTTAGAAATTGCTTCCTTTCTATTAAGTACAAGGGCCCTGTATTTAAATTTTACCCTTATACTTTACTAATATATTTTGTTATTGCAGATCAAATGGAAAATGTAAGTTATCAAAGCAAGATTACTAATACCTGTGGATCAACAGCCTTATCTTTCAAAAGACCAGATTTGCCCAAAGTAGATAGCATGGCTCGTCGAACCTCAGCCTATGCCATATCAGAAAATAATCAGACAGCATAACAAGTTTGATAGGAAATACATGTCAGTTATAGGAACACAAAAAAAAGTCCGTACAAGTCTTTCAAACAGGGAGTAAGGAAGAAAGAGACTTAACAAGAAATCAGAAAATACGTCAAACAACAGCATCAAATCTCTACCAAGTAGCAATATGGCGTACCTTTGGATGCTCCAAAGAGAACCAAATTTTCGAATCGGATATCTCCACCGGCCCTTGCAAATTCCCATCCAGCAACAAACACAAAATCTCAAAAATTGAACCTTCCATCATGGAATGAGTTTTGGAATCCTATAAATGTTTCAAATGTAACATTTCAAATTACAACTATATCAAACAGCAGAGGAAGAAAAAATAGGTAGTCATCTGTTAAACAGACCTCCAATAACTTGTAAACAGCTCCCCGCAATTCAGATGGATACTTCTTCTGGATAACAATCAGTATTTTTTTGGCCCAGCTCCCTGACAATTATTTCCAAAACATAACATAAAGCAAAAGCAAAGATCCACCAAAGATATATATAAAGCAAAAGCATTATGATGCAGATGGAATTCAGCAAGTTATGACTAATTCTCAGAAGAAATTAAAGAAATAATGCAAGAGAAGGCAGTTCAGCATAACAAATACAACTTCTGTGCAGAATTTACAAGCCTTATTAACTTATTTCTAATTAAGGAACCTAGGAATAGCTCCAATAAGTGATGAATGAGGGAAAGTAGTCTTAGATGATCTGGTCACATGCATAGAAAACCACCTACAGTACCCATAAGAAAAAGCGATCACAAGTGGCTAAAAGGGCTAGGGGTAGACCAAAAAGGCCATGTCGAAGTAGTAAGAAATGGTTTTAAGTGCTCATAATTTAACAATGGAAATGGCATTAAACAGAATGGAATGGTGAAATAGGATTCATGTAGCTGATGATTATTATCTTCTTTGACATGTTAAGAGTCCAAAGAGGGTACAAGAAGCCCTCAATATCAGAGAATCATCAGATCAGATTAAGGCCTTCATCAAAAAGACTTCCATGTGCAGGAATCTGTGGACTATCAATAATGGCCATTGGTCAAAGCCAACCACATGGACCCTTCACATTGACCTCCCATAGGTCTAGTGTTTTTCGTCAAAGTCTTCATCAGTTATCATTTGGGCACATATTATTTATGGTTAAATACTCAACTAGGAGAGAAGTTGGTCAGTTTTGTTGTATTCCTTTCAAGTAAATTAGTTACTCAGCTAGGAGAGAAGCAGGGAAAGAGATTATCACGACCAATGATGAAGACAATTTGCAAGGAAAGGACTATACAGTTGAACAACAGATGAGAGGACTTTCAGAGATTGCTGAGGAGGTGAAATGACAAGAGTTCGACCTTAATCAAGGGTTGGACAATTCAGATGTGAGCCAAAACTCTTTTCCAGAAGCAGCACAGAGTCAGGGTGGAAGTGAGCACTGGCAAGTCAGAGCTACCAACGCCAATAGGAAACAGGAAAAAGGATGAGGCTGGATCGAGAAATTTAGAAATGACCGCCTGCGTGAATACTGAGGTAAGCTCGATCCCCCTCTATGAAGCAAACCCCTGGAAGAAGATAGCAAGATAAGGGAGGAGAAAGAAATAGGGGTGGAGCCTGGAGGAGGGAAAGGAAGGGAAAGAAAATAAAGAGAGAGATTCAAGACTTGGAAGATATCGGTGGGCAGCAGATCAAAGTTTACAATAGAAAAAAGAGAGTTAGCATTTAAGCAGACAAGAAGAATGGGAATGGGAGGGGAAAACAGAGAGAGCTGGAAAGCTCGGGAGTGGGTTCAAAAGAGGGGAACGAGGTGGAGGTGGAAACCAAGAAGGGGGGAAATTCCAAAGGAAGTAGAGGGGAGAAGAGGGTGGAGATTGATAAGCTGCTGGAGAGACAGCTGGAAGTGGGTAAGTCACATTGCCTGTTCTTTTTGGGCGGAGAGGGTGGTTAGGAAAGCAATAGAGCAAAAGGGAAGAAAAGAATAATGGCCAGTTTGGCAAGTCTTTTTGAGAAGATCTTCTCGTAGCTCTGACAGTCAATAGACGCATTCAGCTTTTGGCATAAGATCTGGGCAGCCTGAAGACTGTTTGGCAGACGCGCATCTTTCTGTGTGTCGTTTCGGGTCTTTCCGCATGAGATTAAAACGCGGGAAGCTTCATTTGGAGCTTCCCAAAATCAGCCCAAAATGGACTCCCCACGTCTTTTCAGCACCCCATCTTTTGGCGGCAAGATCTTCCGCGTGCCAAACAGGAATAGAACGATTTTCAGTCTTCTCGACTTGTAAGCAGCCGAAAGACCGCACGAAAAGACGCACCTAACGGAGCCTAAGAAAAAACAATTGGGAGGGAGGAGAGGAATGGGAGGAAGGAGAAGAGAAGGAAAATGATTGGGTAGAAGAAGAGTGAAAGGGTTGATGGTAGAAAGTGACAGGGCATAATAGGAGGGGCAGACAAAAATGAGGCTGATTTCCTGGACTGTTAAGGGATCCCGAAATGGTAGAAGAAGGGTGTTAGTAAGGAAAGTGGGGACTTTTTCCCTGAAAAGAGAGGTCTAAGACAAGGGGACCCTCTCTCTCCCTTCCTTTTTACCTTAATAGTGGATGTTTTTGAGTGTTATGATTTCCGGAGCTGACTACAAAAATCTTTCTAATGGGTGGAGAGTAGAGAGGCAAGAAGTAGTTGTCACTCATTTACAATTTGCAGATAATATAATTCTCTTTTGTAAGGGAGAGCCTGAGGAGATGGTCAATCTGAAATTGTTGCTAGAAGGTCAGATGAGGAGGTGTCTTCCTTGGTAGAAGGTCAGATGGCTTGTAAAATACTTGGGTTTACCTCTGGGAGGAAACCCAAAGTCAAAAAGCTTCTAGTACCCAGTCTTGGAAAGATTCACAAAGAGACTAGCAGGTTAGAAGAGGAATTATCTCTTTAAGATTTAGAATCACTTTAATTAAGTCATCATTAGCAAATTTGCCAGTGTACTTCCTGTCTACCTTCAAACTGCCTACTAAGGTTGCAAATCAGTTGGAAAAAGTAATGAGAGATTTCCTCTGGTAACCTGGGGAGTAAAAAAAGGATCACCTAGTGAAGTGGAAAGTGGTATATAGGACAAAAGACAGAGTGATAGAAAGCATACATGGATTGGCAGCTAATGGATGGGATGTTTATCTCAACCCAAGGGCTTCTCATTCCTCTCCGTGGAAAGACATTGTTGGTATCCTGCCTGCCTTTTCTCCTTTCATCAGGTATGACGCTTCTTCAGGTAATAAGGTCCTTTTTTTGAAAGGACACTTGGATTGGGACCAACTCTAAAGGATAGGTTCTTGGCCATCTACTCCTATCCTTGAGCAAATTTAAAGTCATCTCTAACTTTCGTGTTTCTGGAGAATCGTGGGGTATAGGGTTCAGGAGAGGATTGAGGGAGTCAGAAATAGGATTGACAGATGATCTTTTCTCTCTTCTAAACTCGGTGTTTTTGGACCAATCTTGTCCTAATATTAGGAATTGTCTGAAGAGTCCTCCAGTTATTTTTCTTGCTCTTCTTTCTTCAATGCTTTAATGCACTCTTCCAATTTAGTTTACTCTTTTCCTGCAAAAAAAAGTGTGGAGTGCTCTTGTACCTCCAAAGGTGAGGGTCTTTTGTTGGGAAGTAGTTCTCCAAAAAATCAACACTTTGGATTTGCTTCAAAGAAAAAGACCAAATTGGTGTTTATCCCCTCAAGCCTTTGCTTGAAGACTGGTGGGATGGTAAATCATCTACTAATCTCTTATCCTTTTGCTACTCTCATTTGGGATTGGTTCTCCTCTCCACTTTGGGTGCAGATGGGATCCTCCTACAAGCGTGGTGGATCATTTTGAATTTAGCTTTTTCTGTCGACCAAAGAAAAGATGAAAGGTAATGTGGAGAACAAGAACAGCAGTTGTTTGGGCAGTGAGGGAAGAGAGAAATAACATAATCTTTCAAGGGAAAGAAAAAACAGCACATTAAGTCATAGAAGGGACCACCATCAAGGTTATACACTGGCTGAAATCGCTGGACCTGTTCAAGGACATCTCTGTAGATGCCTTGATTAGAGGGTGGAGTACAATAGTAGCTTCTTTCTGCCCTCTTTAGCAATTCAAGAGGATTTGTTATGTGCTTTAGGAGAACTCACCCCTAAAAACTAGCTGTTAGAGGGAGGGAAACCAAACACATATATACCCCATAACAGCATCCCATACTACCGATGTGGGATACCTCACATTAGCATCCCATACTACCAACATGGGACAAATGGATCGTAACAGGATTGGTCTCCCCTCCCCCTCTTTAAGCTAAACTTTGATGGCATCTCTGTAGGTAATCCAGGCCCCTCTGGAATTGGGGGTGTCTTTAGAGATGGGAGAGGAAAAGTCCTGGCCCTTTTTTATGGCTCGGTAGGCTTGGGGGACTCTCTTAGAGCAGAAGTTCTAGCACTCCTACAGGGACTCAAATTGGCTAAACAGCTGGGTTTTCAGCAGTTGGAAGTGGGGGAAGATTCAAAACTGGTATTAGGTTGGATGCAAACAAACAGCTTAGATGTCTGGTCCCTTAGACAACCTGTAAGGGAGACTATGCAAGTAACAAGGGAGCTTGAATTCTGTTTTAAATGGACTAGGAGATCAACCAATGCAATGCCCGTCAAAAAAAAAGGTCTAGGAGAAAAACTATGGAAACAATGGGGTTACAAAACCATGAGGTGGAGAGTTGAATTTGTAATTGTTTTTGTTCCATTTCTGTTATCAGGTGCTGCTTTAACACCTATCAAGAATGTACTATTTTTATTTTATTTTAATGAATTTTCTTTTTACTTATCATAAAAAAAAACACCTCCCCTAAGATTTCAATCAAATACTAAGACCTTCCTCAAGTTCACCTACTAAATTATTCAAAAAGCTTATTTTACCCTTTTCTCCAAACCTTCTTTTATGAAATATAGACAAAATACCCTTAGTTATCCTTTTAAGGGACAAATTCTTAAGTCAGGGTTAAAAACCTTAAAACAGGTTCAGGAAAAAAAAAGTAAAATAAAAAAATGAGATGGTAAAACTGTATTTAGTCTCTAAAAAAGAGGGATCTTTAACGACTTCAAAATATATATAGCCTAATTTATACTTTTCGAAGTGACAAACTATTTTTACCACAAGGTTAAAGTGGAAATGCAAAGTTGAAAATGGGTTCAGAAAAAATAAGATAAAATAAAACTGAGATGGTAAAATTGTAGTTATTGTTTATAAATAAGGGTATTACTATCAAATTCAAAATATATGTTTTGTAGACAAAAGTAAATATCTTAATATTTTAGTAAATTACTTATTTTTGTCTCTAATCTGTTTCTCAGTTAAGAAACCCCATATGGTTTTGAGGCCAAAGGGGATATATATTAGAAGGTAAACTCAGATCCCTCCCTATGTAATTATTGCCTAATACATTTCAAGTCTCTATTTTGCAAAACCATCAGCAAAATCAATGGTAAACCATTATGGACAAATATTACCATAAGGAAATAAAACCAAAGATGAATCATCAAATCAAAAGCTGAAATCTTTTACTCAAATATACCTGATTCACCTATCGCAGAAATATCACCTCCCTTAGATAATCTCAAGCAGGAAGTAAGAATCTTAGAGACGATATTACTGATAAAAAGCTTCACAGGAACTGTCTCAATTGTAGATATTAAGGCATGACAGGATAAATCATCAGAACAACTGTAAAAAATACAATAATCAGGTCACATTCCACAATACAATTATGCAAATGAAATATTTCCAATATAGTTGCTAAAATGCAAAGATTAAAACACCTGTTGTCAGCTAGCGACTCCAAATAAATAGAAAGAAACTTCTGGATATTGAACTCCTTTGACAGCTCCACAAGTACTCCAGATAGATCCCTTCGGGAAAAAGATAAAATAAACAATAAAAAGAAAAAACGAAAAGACAAGAATAGAGGATGAGAAAGTAGAAGCCACATAAAGTACATCAGAAAGGTCAAAAGCAAACAAAACAACAAAAAGGTAAACCATACCTAATTTCCTTAAGAATCTCCAAGGCCTTCTTTGGAAACAACTGAACAGATTGCATCTAAAGAGGAAACAAAAAGATACAAGGATGAGGAAATACATGGGCTAATTCTTTAAAAAATAAGATACACAGTAAATCCAAAAATCATGAATTTAAGTCTAGAAACAAAAAAAAAAAATCGAAGGATTAAATAATATTTCAAGCTCAGAAAGAAAAGTAAAAAAAATGGAAACCGAAGGATATAAAAAAGTGAAAATGGGAAATGAAAACAAGAAAATAAGTAAATAAACAAGTAAAATTCTAAACCTGAGGTGGTATTTGAAAATAGAAAACCAGCTTTCAAGGGTAAAATAAAGCTATACAAGCTCAGCACTAGAACAAGGAAAAGGAAGTATTATCTAATGGTTGTATGCAGCTTCATATAGATAATATCATATGGTTGGGACAAGGCTTTGTTGAGTTGAGTTGTATGTAAATTTATGTGTGTGTATATGCATGCATATACGTACAGAAAGTAAAATCTCATGGTTGTATATAGTTTCAAATAGATGACACCATATCATTGGGAATTGGTACAAGACTTCGTTGAGTTGAGTTGAGTAAATATGATGTGAACCGATACATTGTGATATTTTAAACCTTGAATGCATTTTTTTATCAGCAACACAGTAAACCTTGAATGCATCAAAGGACGATATCATCAACTTGATCAGCTAGTGCTTAAACTAATCAATGTACAAGAGAAAATGACAAAAGACAACACATCAATATGCTGATCAAGAAAAAAGGTAACACATAAATATGAAACTACTAACGCATGCTTTCTTTGAGGATTACCATAGGTAAGAAATGCCTAGTGGAGTAAAGAGCAATACCTGAACAAGGCTGATTATGGTCATAAGAGACATTCGGAGCCATGGCAAGTTAGCTGACTCTTTTTTATCCTCTCGAGCTACCTCAGAAATGGAACGAATCAAACTGTTGACGAGCTTAGGAGCCAACACAGTCCTATTTGCTAGTAAACCAACTACTATCAAAGCTCCAGCCTAAATAAAAAGTAACAAGGCCTTCTCAGAAGAAGCAACTATGAGCTTAATTTTTCCGAATCTTATAAATATGACAGAAAAAAAAAGCAATATATCAACAAGAGCAATAAAAACATTTAGGGCAAAACTGAAATCATTAGTGGAAAGAATAGTAACTTCGTAGTTCCCCATTCTTTTTTTTTTTTTTTTGAAAAATAAGGTATAGAGACACACACCCCAAAAAAAAACATGTTCCTGGTTGTGTATGTGTTGCTTGTTTTCAAAACTGAAACCAAAAACATGTTTACATCTGGTTATTTAATATCATGTTCCAAAAGTTATATAATTTCTATACTTGAAATTTTGGTTTTGTTTTTAAAACCATTATTTTGATGGTTCCAAAAACATATTGTTTTTGAAACAAAACCAACTTGTTTTTTTCCTTTGAAAAGAAAAACAGAGCTCAAGAACATGCTTTCGTTTTTTTTTTTCATTTTGCTGATGTGGCAATTCCAAAAAACAAAAGAAAACAAAAGCATCCATTTCGTAGAACACCCCTTTAATTAATAGTTTAGCTATGAGTAGGTTCAAAAGGCTGAAGTGAATAGAGTCATCCATGACAGGATAATCTTGTTTGTAGTTGTTCTTTATCATTGAATTCTCCTTTGTCCAAGGACCACTTTCTTAATAGGGTGCCCTTTGGGGGCAATTTTTTCTTCATTCAGTAATGTGAAATACAACAATTTGAAGAAAGTTCTGCAGAATCTGTCCATTTTCCCTTATGTATTGAGTAGATAAATGAATTACACATTTACGATGGACTATCAAAATAAGTATATGAATTGCAACAAATATGTAAGAAAGGGTGCATATCTAACAGGATGTACAAAAATGCACAACTATGCAAAAGAGCTCTGGTCTCTAAAAAACGAAGTAGGCATGGTCATCATCAAACAAGAGACCCCTTCCAAGTTCCAACACCAGTTTCCCTGTTTAAGGGCTGAATTATCAATAGTATGCAGTCATTAACACATACAGATTGGAATCTATTCAATCAGGTCTAGACATCAAGATAATAACTGACAAGGCCAACCACCAAGTTTCCTACACTTCAGCCTCCGTTGATTCTCATTACATACAGATCCTGGGAAATTTGCTCTAGAAAATCTAATAGAATTTGTTTTAGGCAATACAGAACACAACAATATTGAAGGGATGAATTACCAGTAGAATGTAGTCATTAACACATCCAGATCTACAGATCTGAAGTGTTAATACTTGTGCTCTATTCTCAAAGGATTGGCAGGTGGCTTCCATGTAGGGTAGCCAGGTTGTTTTGTATGGAGTATATTTTAGTTGATTTTAGGGCTGTCCAAAGCAACTCAAGAAATTTTATTAAGATTAAAGAGCAAAAATGTACAACAAGAAGTTGTTAGGGAAAAGACCCTTTACATCACAAATCCCCACACACAATTAACATTGAACCCAAAATACATGCTCCCAATGAATTCCATGCTTAGCTAATCCATCCGCCAACCCATTAGCAGACTTCCTAACCCATCTTACATGGAATTGCATATTTCTTGATATCATCTTGAATCTTCTGAAATCATTTCTGAATTGCCATAGAACCCCTTCTCCTTTTTTCAACCAACCAATGACTATTTTTGAGGCCCCTTCATCAATCAGGCTTGTATTCCCATATCCTTAGCTTTTTGCACCCCAACAATGGAAGCCATAAATTCCGCTCTTACTGAGTCAACTTGATCAATAGGTCCTGAATACAAACCACATATATTACCATTCTCATCTCTAAACACTCCACCAATTCCGGAAGGCCCTGGACTGTTAACAAGATGGTTGGTTTTAAAATGCAGTTGTTCATTTTCAGTTTGATAAACAGCAAAACCTGACAACTCAGCTCGGTTGCAGGTTATGTGTATATAATCCCGCAACCGAATTGATATATGTAACCAGGTGTCAGTCCTATGATATCAGACTATCCAGGGGCATCCCACCAGTGCCATCAGTATTTGTTCAGCCTTTATTTAAGTACTGTGGCTGTGTATATAAACTTGTCAAGTGTCGTCCCTCCCTCTCTTCTACCAAAACTCGGAAATATTTTTAGGGCTCATACTAAAAGTAGCATTTTGAACATTGGGATTTGGGAAATGCATATAAAAATACTTAAACAACTAAAAAGTTTAACGTTGGGACTTGTAAAAATCCAAACACCTTTTCATTCCTCATTCAACCGATTAAACCAACCGAATTGGAAACAAAAGCTTAGGTTGGTTTTATTTCCTTTTCAATCGGTTTCAGTTGACCCATTGGTCAACCTGAGAGTGAAGATTCGGTTGGTATAAATAAGTAAAACCGAACCAAACCAACCCATGTACGGCCCTAGTTGATTTGTAGTTGTGTAGAATTCTATGATTCCACAAGTTCTAATGTACAGGCCTGATTTGAACTGAAGCTTTTTTATTTTTCCAAAGGCTATACCTATGGTGGTAGGGTAAAGGTTGTTCTGTTGCACATTGCTTGTTTATCTTGGTTTCTATTTAAACAAAAAAAAAAAAAAAACAGGAAGTACAAGACGCAGTTCTAGCAATCACCGCAGGAAAGAACACAAGAAATTTATCAAACCTCCCTTAAACACCATTGTCACCACAAACAACTTCCAATAACACCCAATCCAAAAAATAAAACATCAAAATAACAAACAAAAAAATCAAAATTACATGTATGAGCCTCGTAGGAAACATGTACAGCCAGGAACTATACATCTCTGGGGCCAAATAAAACCTAGGCCCCTAAACCAAACCCAAAAAGACCCCTCCAAAGGGAAATACTCTGGTGTAAGCTTTACATATTAGCAAAATAAAATACTAGGATCAAAAAACTGATGATGTGGGAAACCTCAGAACTGCTTAAGGACTGACAACTAAAGGTGTCAATGGAACGGTTTTGGATTGGACCCCGTCCAAACCAAAATCAATTTGGACAAATTGGACAGACCTAGGAGTGTCAATGGACTGGTTTTGGATTGGTTCCAATTCGATCCAAAACTTATCAAATCGGATTTGGACAGTCCGTTATAATTATTGGATTGGGCCAATCCAAAATAAATTGGTCCATATTCTTATGGGTCTGAATCGGACCTAAACCAAATTCCCAATAATCTGATCATGAGGCCAAATCCTTGTCCAATTTGAAACTGATCAAAACTGAAAACACTTTTACAAAAGCACTTTTATGAAAACACTCTTATAAAAGTAATTAAGTACTTTTACGAATGCATTTTTATGAACAAGTTTTTATAAAAGCACTTTTATGAAAACACTTTTACAAAAGCACTTTCATGAAAGTACTTTTCTAAAAGCACTTCTACGAAAGTATTTTTATAAAAGTACTTTTATAAAAGCACATTTACGAACAAAGTACTTTTATGAAAGCACTTTTACAAAAGTACTTTTATCCGTTCGCTTTGGATTGGATTGGACCCAATCATTTGCATTTTCATTGGACTAGATTGGATTGAGTTTTTTTATATAATTTCTGGATTTCTCGACTCATTTTGGTGTTTGATTCAATTTGGATTGGATTGAACCCAATTCGGTCCATTTGCATTTTATTGGGCTGGATTGGACTTGGTTTGTATGGATTTGGTCCAGTCCATTTGTAAATGGACCAATATTGGATTCGACCAAATTCAGTCCAATTGACAGCCTTACTAACAGCCAAGAGTGTATAGTTGTTGTAGACCAACACAACACATCATCACTAGAGCTCCTTGATAACCCTGCATTTTGATGCCTTAAGGACATCAATTCAGGGGTATTTTTGGCCTTAGAGTAATCAAAGTGCACCTTTTTTCCCAATTAAAATCAATTATGTGACCTCTGAGGGTCTCTATGCAAATTATGTAAAAAACTGGGAAGTTTTCATGGCTGAAATACAGTTTTTGGGAGGCTGGTGTGAAGTTCAACTAAGAGAGGGGGTGTTTTTGTAAAGAACTGAGAACAGAAGGGTGCCACCTATCGCTAAACCCAGTTGGCGCCCATCCTACTGTATTACCATGCTCCCCTCTCATTAGCAAACCCTAGGGAGCCTTTTTAACCTAATCTTTTCCTCCTTAGCTAACCCTAGCCACCATAGATGTAAAATCTCTATCATCCACTCCTTCTAATCTCCACCATCCATTTTAGGACTCTCCTTTGTAGCTTCTRAACCCTAGGGTGCCACCTATTCTGTTAATCCTCACCATTAAATGTCAGCCACTCCCTCCATCTTATATCCCAACCATTCAATCTACGGCACCACATATTCTTTCAATCTTAACCCTTCAACCCTAGATGTTCTAATCTACACCCTCCATTTCTGGGCGCCCAAATCTCAGCCCTACATAATATTGGGTGCCCTCTCCTTACATTTTCAGCCATAGAATCACCCCAAAACCATCTTAGCCATCCATTAGAAACCCTAGGGCATCCCTAACTTTGCTAAACCCTAGGGCATCCCTATTTCCAGTTGTGTCCACCCTTCTCTATAAAAAGGGTCCCAGGGGCCCTGTAGAAGGGGTTGGATTCTGCCCCCAGGTAAGACGGAAGGCTGATCTTGAGAAGTTCAAGGGTAGAGGAAGAGAAGGACGCCTAGGCAAGAAGAGGGGTTCCTGCTTGCAGTTCGCCAACACCACTACTGCCACCTCTGGATTCGGATCCCAACCATTAGCTTTAGTTTTAATTTTAGTTCTTTCAATTCTAGTTTCGTTATTTCCTTTCTGCAAGTTATTTTCATTATGTTTGATCTTCGTTTTCTTTTCTGCAATTCGGCCAGGTAAGACGGAAGGCCTAGCTCGAGAAGTTCGAGGGTCGAAGGAGAGATCCGGAGACTGCTACCTCTGATCGGATTACAAACATTTTAATTAGTTTCTTTTATTTATTTATTTTTCTACACTTTAATTTTTGCAATGTCTGAATTCTATTTTTCTCAGTTTAATTAATTAATTATTATATTTCTAC